CACAGTGTCTGCAAGAATAAACCCAAATGTGTGGTGATTTATGGGAAACCAGAGCCATCTCTGAGAAGTAGGTGTCGTTTGGTCCTTAAGGCCATTGGACAAGAGTCTGAGCCATAGGGAGGCTGCCAGCACTTGGGGACTGCATCTGGGGATGGCTGTCACTCAAAGTGACTTGCTGAAGGTAGCAGACACAGCTTCCCTTAACATCCAAGTGAGGAAGTTGGCTCTGCTGTGAAAGCATTCTACACATGTCAAAGCTGAAAATGCAAGCATTAGGTTTCTGATCTTTACTTCAAGGACATTGTTCAGACATGTGGACAGAAATATAAAACAAGGCTCAGCTTGAATTGTGGTGAACCCTTCTGCCTGCTGCCAAAGCTCCGTCCCCAGGAGGGTTAGAAGCAACGGCAGCACGTGCTGGCAAAGAGTTCAAGTGGAATTGAGCTTTGTAGTGCTGTGCTCTTGCCTGGAGTGCTGCATTCCAAGTGTTATGTTCATTGGCCCCTTTAGAACAGAGACCCTGCAAGGTGAGTCTTGATTGGGACGGGCTGAGGTGGACCCTGAAGAGCCCCGGGAGCAGTGGGCAGGAGTGCTTGTGGGTGTCCACAGAAGGCCCCAAAAGGCTCCATGAGAAGAAATGCAGCAGACGTGATGCATTTTGCATCTTTAGTTGGCTGAACAGTTGGAAATGGATAAAGGCTGCCTGACCAGCTAGGAGATTATGTGTCCAGGAAAAAAAAAAAAATCATGACTTGACAAATACAGCTAATGAGGTCAGATATTTTAGTACTGAATTCTAGAGCTTATTCATTCTAACTGGACACGTCTGTCCCTCAACTTCTTCGAGAGTCAGCATCCCCATTAGTAGGAAGGAAATGATTCTGCTGTACAGAGCAGTTGGGAGACCAAAAGCAATCATACGTAGGAAAGTGCCTGGGTAAGGAATGCATGTGTGCAAAGAATTTTTTAAAAAATATGACCTAAACCTCAGAATCCTTAGAATTATTTTTGGACAGAAAATAAATCAGAAGTAACCACGACCAATCTCCAGTGGAACAAGAGGGCAGCAGCTACGTGGCACAATTTATTATTGCTGCTTTGAGAGCAGCCAGCTGTGCTGCCCAGTTTTGTGAATTATTGATTTCTGGAATCTTATCTTTTGTGTCGTTTAAAAATAATTTCATTTTTGTTGTGTGCTATTTCTAAGCTGTTTCCAAGAGAACAATACAGTTGGCTATTAAAATTCAGTCTCTTCTAACCTTAGGAAATCTTTCTAGAGAAACAGATTACTCTCAAATTTAAATCACTTGTTAGCCTCTTATTCTGAAGAGTTTACCATAGAGATACATCAAGTCTAAGGCCCAGGAGAGCGAAGCCTCTTGGTCAACAGCCAAGACCTTCGTCTGCTAACCTGCTCTGTTTAGCACCCACCAGCCATGTTTTGGATAATGTGTCACCACTGACCAGTGTTGGCATCATTTGGTGCCACTCATCTCTCTGCCCTTCCTGGGTTCTGGCTGTGGAGCAGGCATCTGAGGTCCATTGGCCAACTGAACAATGATGAATTTCCCTGTTTTTCCGGGCCCGCATTAGGAAAGAGGGACAGCACTCTCCTGCCCTATGGCCTATAGCAAAACCACAACTATAGAGGGACCTAAAAAGTCTCCTGTGAAATGCATATGTATTAAGGCGGTGTGCCATGGGAAGATCTGAGCTTCTCAGTCAGAACCACCTCTGTCCCTTGCAACCTGTTGACCTTGGGTAACTTTCTAACCTTCCCTGAGCTTTCATGCCCCGGCCTGTGTGATCTGCTCCACAAACTTGGTAGAGACAGTAGCATTTTGTTTGCTTTTTAATCTGCTCCCTCAAGTCCCACAGACCTTATTAGCAAGACGTCCAGCATCTCCTGCTGGAAGACCTTCCATCCCACCTCTCTTCCTGACCGACAGTAGGGCTTCTTCAGCTGTTAAGTAGGGCAGACCTGGCTCCAATGTTACGAGTGTTCTCACCTCTCATGGCCACAAGGTGTCGCCATTGGATCTTCGTGGGGACTAGCCCCGACCAGCCCCGTCCACCCGACCGGAGGGGCGCTGCAGCTTTGCTCATTTCCAGCCCTTCCTAGAAGGGACTCTGGTGGATGGATGGCTTGAAACACAAAATTAAATCCCTCTTAGTTCACACTCACAGCATATGGTGGCCAGTTCTGACTGGCTTCCCAACTCAACCATGTCAGAACCAATCTTTTCATTTATTCAACAAAAGTACTAACCCTACTATATGGCAAACACCAGATTAGGGATTTGGGAAGGGGCATCTTTCACATGTCCCCCTACTTTCCCTGAGCCCAAGTCACCAAGACATGTGTCTCCTCCACTCCTGATGAGTTTTGCTTTGGGGATGCGCCGGGGAGGCGGGGGGCGGGGGAGGGGGCGGGATGAAGGTGCGGGAGGAACAGACTAGTTTCTTGTTTACGCAGTTTTGACCCACTTCTCCCCAGGCGTCCAAGTGTGCATGTCAGATGGGGTGCTGGATTTTCTAAGCAACACAGGCACAAACGTGCCTTCTGTGGTAAAATGGGGCTTACTGCTCTGTTTAACTGTGCTATAAATTGATCCTTCCCCAGAAATCAGGTCATTTGGGATTAAAACTTTATATACACTACCTGATTTAAAATTGAGAGTCTTACTTATCTGGCAGAATAGCTTAGAGGGTTAAATTAGATTCCTTCACTGGACTATAAGCTCATGAAGGCTATGTTTTGTTCACTGCTGTTTCTCTTTTTTGTCTTCCACTGCTGTATCTTCAGCCCTTAAACCAGTGCCTGGCACATGGTAGGGGCCAGTGTTGGGGTGTGCACGAGCACGCTTGTGTGTGCGCGCACACACACACACTCACATACACGCAGTCATGGAATGAGCCTGCAAAGAATGTCATCTCATGAAACGTTAGCTTCCTTGCTTCCTTTTCCAGAACATGTAGCAGCCCTGGATTGTGAAGCATCACACAGAAGAAACTTCAACATGCACACAAATCACTAGTGATCTACAGATGCCAATTCAGTCAGTCTGGGGCAGGGTCTGAGATTCTGCCTTTTCACACGCTCCCGACTGATGTCAATACTTCTGGTCAGAGCCATGCTCTACCAGCACGGGCGCTATATGTTGATACAACTTACTTCCTAGGATTTAAGATGCCATGGATTACAAAACATAATCTGATTTTGGAGATTTTAAAATATAAAAAATGTAGAGTACCTTAGACTCTATGAAATAAGGCCCTACTGAGAGACAGTGCAGCAATGGCTAAATGCTTGGCATCTGCAATCAGACAGAGGCAGCTGCACCCTTTGTTACCTTTCTGATCTTGGGGAAGCTATCAAACCTCCACAAAACTGCATTTCCTCACCCCCAATATGCAGTAACCACAAGGGCTGCCTGGTGAGTAGTGCCAACCCAGCCAGCCTGATGATCTACCTGTTTGTCCAGTACAATTAAAAATCCACAAACTGACCACCTTTCTATTTCCTTCCACATCGCATATGTCTCATAAGTAAAATAACTGGGTATAAAAAAAAATAAACCTGCTCTAAAAGTTTTCATTATCACATTTTACCCTATATAGCTCTAAATTTTACTTCAGTACAAGAATGTATCTGTGTATTCTTTGTGTAGAAATAGAATAAAATAAAATATATTCTTTTAAACCAAGAGAGTAAAAGAGTAAGCCCGAGTCATTGTTTGAGGTATGCGTAGTTTTGCAGAAGGCATTTGACAAACCTTAGAAAAAGCAACGGGTTCCGTAAAGAATTAAATGAGCGTGAAGGGCCCCGGCCAGTGTGGCTCAGTTGGCTGGAGTGTCGTCTGTAAACTGCAAGGTCACAGGTTTGATTCCTGGTCAGGGCACAGGCCTAGGTTGTGGGATCCACCCCTGGTCAGGGCGCATACAAGAGGCAACCAGTCAATGCTTCTCTCTCACACTGTTGTTTTTTCTCCCTCCCTTTTCCTCTCTCTAAAATTAGTACACATATCCTTGGGTACGTATTTAAAAAATGAATGTGAAGTGCTGAGCGTGCCACCCGGCAGTGTCCGGCACTGTGCTCAGTGAATATGACATATTAATTTGTTTGCCCCTGGAAGGCAGGCTCTTCTTCCTCATTCGTTGCTGTTTCCCAGCACCCAGAACTGGGCATAGAACACGGTGGGGCCTCAGTCCACGTTGCATGGAAGTATGAGTGATCGGATGAAGGAACCTCAGACTAACTCGTGCAGGTGGTCAGGCGCAGGAATGAGCACTGGGGGAAGCTCTAACTGGTGGTAGTGGCCTTAGCTGTGGAGAGAAGCAGCTGTGGCCCACAGCGGAGAAGGTTAAAGGCCTTGAGTTGCTCAACTAAACCCTGGACACATGCTGAGGGCGCTGTTGAAGCCAGGCCCCAGAGCAAGGTGTTTGTTACTGGAGCTCTTTCAGGTCTTTTTTTAACCAGTGTTACTGAAGTCCGATCCAGGTGCCATAGCAAATAAGATGAGGGGCTTCATGGACTTGTTCAAAGGGTGAGGAAACGTGAGCTCGGCACCCAGCACAGCACCAGGCAGGGTGGGCAGGGAGGAAGGGTCTTTGGCTTAGTCCTGGGACCGTCGGGACTGAGGGCTGCCCGGCTGCTCCCAACACGAGGGAGTTGTCCAGGAAAATAGAGAAGTCAACTTACCCTAGTGAAAGTCTCACTTTTGTATACCTGACAACTGCTATTAAAAAAAAGAAAAAAAAAAATAGAAGACCACGGCTCTTCATCTTCTCTCCTTCTCCTATTTTCCTGTTCTGGGTGGAAGTTTACAAATTCCAAGGATATCCTTGGGTAAGGGGGGTGGGGGGGAGGGCACTGCCTAATATATTACAAATCCATTATGTTACCGAAGTGAGATTGAGAAGATTGTTGGTCAAGAAGATTCACAGGCCAAAGTCTCCAACCTAGCTAAGTGTCCCCTTCACGCTTTCTCACTTTCCAGGTGACCTTGTACAAAAGCTCTGACATGGAGGACTTTGGGTTCAGTGTAGCAGACGGCCTGCTGGAGAAAGGAGTGTATGTCAAAAATATTCGCCCTGCTGGGCCAGGAGATCTTGGTGGTTTAAAGCCTTATGACAGGCTCTTACAGGTAAGACCGCAAGTGGGACTTCAATGAACTCTTCTGAGGCTTACTCGACCAATGCCTACCCACCCTCCTTTGCCTCATACCTAGATTAGGATAGAAGCTTTTTCTTTGGTAGAATTTACCAGTTATTGAAATTGCCTGTTTCCCTGCATACACGCCCCAGCAGATCACGCACTCCCTGAGGACGGGGCCAGTGCCTCGCTCTCCCGTTCGCCATTGTGCAGTGCCTGATACCTCAGTATCTGACACTATATCTGAAGCCAGAGAGCTGAACCTTGTTTATTTAATGGAGTCCTTTCATGGTCAGGCACAGTTTCATTGAGCAAAGCAAGTTCTCATGTACAGTTTTTAGGAAGAGAACATTGTGCAGGAGAAGGAAAGCCTTGACATCAATCTTAAAAGTGTGTTCCACTGGAATGAATCTGGCACCAAACAGCTGACTTTCAAAGCATGAGGCTGCGCTGAGGTGTGTTCACTGAAGCAAGTGGTCATTGATCAATTAGATAGTTTTAAAACCAATTCTGGTGATTATTTTTGCCATGACAATAGAACAGTTAGTCTTATCCTAGAAGTATGGGACACTTTTATTTTCCATAGGTTCTTTTATAGTTGATGAATGAATAACTATGGACAAGTTACTAACTCTCTAAGAATGCCTTCCTAATCCATATATTGGAGCTATACCTACTTTGATGCAAGTTGAGGCCATGAAAGTAGACTGGATTCAGATTGTGAAAAACCTTGAATGTCATGATAAAGTCCTTGGACTTTATCCTGGAGGTATATTCATTTCTTCAGCAGAATGACATAATTTATGATTTAGAAAAAATACAATAATATTGTTTGAGGCATTGGGGTAGGTGGGGAAGGGGAAGGTTATAGGAAAGGAGACTAGGCAGGTTTAAGTAAGACACCCGCATCATACCTGGATCTTCAATACCTTCAGCGCATTCTGTTAGAGCCCTCTGGGAGGAGGCAGTTTGGATTGTTGCTCAGGAGAGATGTTAGATCCAGAGCTAAAGATTTAGGATACTGAAGGCATGGGTTTGGATTAAGCTGCCTATGGTGAATTTACAGGAATAAAGAGAAGAGAACCAAGGATCGAATCCTAAGAGAAACACAATTTAAAGGACAGGAAGGAACAAAGGCAGGAAAGGACTGAAAGCAGGCTGTTAAAATGGTAGGAGCATCAAAACAAAGTAGTGTTCTAGGAGCCAAGAAAGGAGAGTTTTAAGGGCGGGCAGGCGTTAAGGGCAGCAAGTGCTGAAGGCCAAAGGGAGTGATAGCCCAAGACTTGGGTCCTGTATTGGACAGTGGGGTCATTTGTGCGATATGAGGGTAAGATCAGATTGGGGAGAGAATGGAAAGTCAAGGAATGAAAGCAGCATGTCGATTGTATAAACTTCTGATGGTGAAGAATAAGGGGAAATAACAGCAGGCGAGTGCATGCGTACGCTGAGGAGGGGATGGGCTCAGTTGAGGAGGGTAGTTCAGCATTGTGGTCAAGAGCACAGGCTCTGGAACCACCCAGACTGCCTGGGACCACATCTTACTTAGCTCAGCCGCTTACCACCTGCTTCCTTAGGGCAAGTCTCTTAACCACTCTGCGCCTCGTGCTCCTCACCTGTGAATTGGGGAGCACCGGCTATGAGCAAGGCAGTCTGTTTGCCATGGGACCATTGGGATGTGTCCTTGTCCCCTGTGCTCAGGGGCATTAAAACAGCAGCAGAGACTATGTAAGCCAATAAACTTGTTATAGTATGGTCAGAGCAGGGACGAACTCTCTGTACAGGTGCTGGTTTAATTACCTTCAAGGCAACGTGTTACACCTGAACTGGGTTTGGGGAATTATTTTATGGATAGAACAATAATTCAAAATGGCTTTTCTTGACCTTTCAGGTTAATCATGTCCGAACGAGAGACTTTGACTGCTGCCTCGTTGTGCCCCTCATCGCAGAATCGGGTAATAAGCTGGACCTGGTTATTAGCAGAAACCCACTGGCTTCACAGAAATCCATAGAACAGACTCTACCAGGAGAATGGAGTGAACAGAACAGCGCTTTTTTCCAGCAGCCTAGCCATGGTAGTAATCTGGAGATTCGAGAACCAACTAATACCTTATAGCAACGCTTTTTATAAAGCGGGACAAAAGACAGTATCTACATGGTGCTAAAAAAAAAAAAATCCCTTTAAGATTTCTGTGACATTTGAAGCACAGATAATCACGTGGCATTAACTGCAAGCACAGGGGTCTTTTAAATCTCTCTCATGGCTCATGTTCACTTCCCTTTCCAAGTAGAAGAGGCTTCTTTTTTGGTGACCACTCTGGTATATGGCTGGCGGTTCCCTGCCAAGCCCGCTGGTAGAGAAAAAGAGAAGTAGGTAGGCCACCCCGCCACAAGGAACATCGGAGGGAGTTTTTTACAGCTTCATCTTCCTATCACTTTTTGAAAAATGTTTAAAAATATTCTCTGTGATAATTTCCTTCATTCACTTTGAAATCAGTTTCTTACTATGAAGTCATTGATGTAAGAACTTGACCGACAGGGCTTTTTTCATAAAGCTGGCTCTGCTAGAGGGACTAGTTGGTAACTGCTGCGCTGACCGCTGCTAGGGGAGGGGAAGAGGGATAAAATTACCTTCAAATGTTCAGCAACGATGCACGTAGAAGATCCTAATAGGTGGTGGTAACTGTTTTGCCCAAGTATAGGAATGATTTTAACTAAGATGTATGCTATTCCCTATGCAACAAATTATCAAACAGGATATGTCTTGTGACCTGTTGTTTTTTTTTTTTTTGAAGGACACATTTTTAATAGCTGAAAATCTCTGATAATGAATTAGTGTTTAGTAACACTGAAGAGTTAGTTATCTTATTTTTAAAATTCAAGACTAAGAATTTAAGAATTAAGTCTATTAAAAGGTTTATCTTAATGATAGGCAAATCAAACTCATCTTGCTTGACATGTTTTAAAAACTGGTTCTATTGAGGGGTGTACAACACATGTACTTAAAAATGACACTGGACTGTTTTGTTCTGAGCCATGCCACTTACCGAAATTGTAAATACATTTTTCACAAAATGCATTGCCAATTATTACCATCCCTCAAAGCAATAAATTGTGACAGTTGCTTTTAATGTTCGTCAGCAACTGTTTTCATTTGTTCAGATATTTTGAATAGTTACACTGATAACTGTTATTTGGTGATTATAAAAAAATAGATCTGTATATTGATTGTAGAATCTCCATATTGAAAGTTATTTTCCCAACATTTTCATTTTGGTCAATAATTCAAACAACCACTTAGATGAAGCATTTGAACACTGTGTCCTTGTTTAAGGAAAAAGTTCACCTTTCTTTTTGTGCAAAGAAATATATTATTTCAATCACATTTCAGGACCGCCAGGGCAAGAAAGTATAAAGCAGAATCATGTTAAGAAAAAAAAGATCATGAGTCACTTAAATATGTATTTTTATTTGTAACAAACAAGTATTAAACTGTAAAGTATTTTTGTACAAATTTAATACTTTAATAGCATGGTATTTATCGTCTATATGTATGGTTTTGAGGGATTCAAAATTGTTGCAAATATTTGTATGGAAAAAAAAAAACCCTCTACCAAATGGAATAAACAGTGATTTTAAAAAGCCAAAAAATATGCCATGCTCTTTCTTTGGCGCTTTGAATTAATTTTCATGTTCTAGAAACTGAGCCCTACACAATGCCAATTGCTACATAATTTGTTAAAGGGGGAAGGCTTTGCCATAAATTTGAAAAGCAGCATGGAAGGGTGGGACGAGAGTAGGTTTTGAAATCAGATCTGGGTTTGAACTGCAGCTCACTGGTGGAGTGAAATGTGCCGGCAGTCAGTGTCCCCACCTGTGATGCTGACGGTCACCTCTGCACTCCGGGTTTGTTGTGAGGACAAGATGTGAAAAGGGAAAGTGCTACAACAGCCTGCGACAGGAACACACCCAGGAACAATGGCACATTTGTTTTAAGTGACACATCTGCCCCCAGAGAACATCCTGTGTATTCTATGAAATAAATTTACATAAACTATGAAGAAACTACACCTATAGTTCCAACACTTTCATGCTTGCAGATTGCCTTGCAGGTCTTGTAAATTCACAGGAACAAGCCTAGGATGTCCATTCTCACCACTTCTACTTAAGTTTACTAGAAGTTCTAGCCAGGGCACTAAGACAAGAAAATGAAATAAAAGGCACCCAGATTTGAAAGGAAGAAGTAAAACTTTCTCATATGCAGATGACAGGAAAATATGTACTTCAAAGTACACCATCAAAAAAGTGAGAACAAATGCACAAAATGCAAAAAAAAAAACTTTTTTGCAAATACTGTTTCTAATAAGAGACTTCTAAGTAGAATATATAAACAACTCATATCTCAATAACAAAAAGAAAAATAACCCAATGTATAAATTGGTGAGAGATCTGAATAGATATTTCTAAGAGAATAAACAAATGACCAATAAGCACATGAAAATGATCAACATCATTAGCCATAGGGAAATGCAAATCAAAACCACAATGAAGTATCACTTTACACGCACTACATGGCTATAATCAAAACGTCAGAAAATAACAAGTGTGGGAGATGATGTGGAGAAACTAGAACCCTCACTCACTGCTCCTAGAGATATAAAATGGTGCCGTTACTTTGGAAAAGTCTGTCAGTTCCTCAAAGGTTTTAACCTAGAGTTACAATATGATCCAGCAATTCCACTCCCAGGTATATACCTTAAAGAAATGAAAATATATGTTCACACAAAAACTTGTACATGGATGTTCATAGCAGAATTAGTTACAATAGCTAAAAAGTGGAAATAACCCAAATGTCCATCCACTGATGAATGGAAAAATTCCGTGTGCTATATCTTTACAAAAGAACATTATTCAGGAATAAAAAGAGATGAAGGCCCTTGCTCCGTGGCACCACTAAAAGCAAGATAGGCCACCTGCAGCTCTACTGGAGTCACCTGCAAAAATTCAGCCAGGGTTCCTGATCTTGTCACATCAGTTCAAACCCACACAGTCGGATGCAGAAATATGGCCTCAACATTTGTTGCCAGTTTTTCCATCAGTATACAAAGGGTACTGACTTCATCAAGGTGGACTGAGTGGTCTTCCTTGAATGGGTTATCCAAGACAACTACCCAATAAAAGAAACAATGCTCGTTCTTTGTACATGATTGTTTTTAGTCTTTTATTTTTTTTTAAAGAAGAGAGATGGAGCATTGATAGATACATGCTACAACATGGATTAAGTCTGAAAGTATTATGCTAAATCCAAGAAGCCAGTAATGAAGGGCATACTGCAGAGACAGAGTAGATTAGCAGTTGCACAGGGCAGGTGGGGGTGAGGGTATTAGAGCTGAAAGGTACAATATTTCTTTGGATGATTACATAAAAGTATTCTAAAATTGATTGTGATATTGGTAGCACCACTGTGAATATACTAAAAACCACTCAATTGTGTAAATGGGTGAATTGTATGTGAATTACATCTCAATAAGGTTATTTTTAAAACATTGGGATATCAGGTAAATTTTTCCTCAACTATTTCTTTTACCATTCAACAATAAATAAAACTTTAAAAAAAGTAAAAATCACTGAGAAAAAATTTTTCCACAGTAGAATATCTTCAAAGCAATCTGTATCGTCCCCCTGCAAAATGACAACGATGTGACATGATGGAGGTGTCAGCTAATGCTACAGTGGTAATCACAGTGTGCTATGTAAGTATCAGCTCATTGTACAGCTTCAACTTAGACAATGTTACATGTCAATTACATCTCAGATACAGAAAACAAAAAAGGGTGCGCTCCCAACTCAAGAGGAGGTTCCGGGAAAAGCCCCAGATGAGGTAGAGCGAGGCAGCAGTTAGGGAGCAAATGGCAGCCTTGGGAGGCGACCCCCTTCACAGAAGACATGACACCCTGGAATTGGTGTCGGTAAGAGATGCAACTACAGTTTCTCATTGCAACTGCTTCATCCCATTGGCAATGATCACTCACAATGATCATGGAAGTTAATAAAACATTATCCTAAAAATAAAACTCTTTATATAAAGTACAGATATGACACTGTTTTCTCTCATTTATGTCCAGTGCTACCGGTTCTCATGATGAAAGACATCGAAATCATTAAGGTTTTCTTTGATCAAATAAATTTAAAACATCTATAACACAAACACCTTAAAACAGAGCTCCAGTTATAGACATCCTCTTTTATCTTGATACTTTGAAGTTATGATGTTCATTTTGTGTTGAATGGAAAAAACAGACAATTATTTTGAGTAATCTGAAGTAAAATTAAGTTTCTTGATTATTTGTGGGTTTGAAAAGTTGCCTGGGGGTTAAACTATTTAGTCTCAAATTCTGAAGTTTGGAAGACACTTGTGGAGACGATTCTTCCACCTGTTAGGAAAACAATAAAAATAAGGTTAATTTGGTGGTCAGTCCCCTCAGACTGCTTCTGCAGAAGACACAGTACGCTTCCCCCACCCCCAGAAGACTTGACCAGACAAGAGCAATCGGCTGTCAGCTCCTTGCCTGTGGGGTCGTGTCTGTTTTTGCCACTGTGCTATCCCCAGCACCCAGGGCTGGGACTGGCATGTAGATGTGACTATTTGCTGAATGAGTATATAAATCTAATGTCCAAAGCTGTGGACAGGGTCCACTATATAATTTGGTGACCCGGTACAAAATTAAAGTGAAGGCCCTGTGTTTAGGAATTAAGAATTCCAAGATGGTACCTGCAGAGAACCCTGCAAAGCACAAAGCCATGGATGCCTGACTGCCTGGGCTGCAGGTCCACGCAGCCGGCCCCAGCTGGGGTGAGAAGAAACACGGCCGTGCCACAAGCAGCTTCTTGGTACTGTCAGTGACGCCCAAACAAAAGTCAATGGACCAATGTGGTCATGGGGAAGTTTTACCACCATAGGGAAATGAGAAAAATAGGTACAACGCAGTCTTTCCCAATGCGAAATCTGTTCAATTTAGGTGAGTGTGATGGTTAATTTTGTGTCAGCTTGGCTAAGCTATAGCACTCAGATATTAATTTTGTCAAATATAGCTCTAGATGTTTCTGTGAAGGCAAGATGAGAGTAACATCGAAATCAGTAGGCTATGAGTAAAGCAGATTACCTTCCATAATTTAAGTGGGCCTCCCATCAACTAAAGACCTTAACAAAAAAAGACTGGCTTTGTCCCAAGAAGAAAGAAGTCTCCCCGGGGTCTGTACCCCCACCTGTGGATTTTAGACTTCCAGCCTCCAGGAGGGCATGAGCCAATTCCTTCAAATCCAGAGAGATAGATAGAGGCAAGCAGGCAGACACATCCTATTGGTTCTTTCTCTAGAGAACCCTGACCAATATAACAACTATCTTTTTTTTTGAAAATCATGTGATTATGTCTTTCCTAGGTTTTTTAATATTAAAATGTCATTTTCCTTCAAAAATTCTGGAAATCACTGCTTTATGTAATAAATTTTAGAATGTTTACAAATGTTTTCATTTAAAGGGAGCTTTCTGTCTTTCCTCTCTTTATGGTGGGGGGTGGCTAGGCAAAGAAAAACAATCCGGCTAACATTTTCTTTTGGTATGTTTTTCAAAAGCCAAAGCTATTAACCCATGGAAAAGCAAACGCTGCCGTCTAGGAGGAGCCTAGCACTAGTGTTTGTAGAATTTAAAAGCTGATTTGGCTCTCGTGTACCCAAAAGTGTGTATGTAAAAAAAGGGGGGATGGGGGCAGCCCTTGTCACTGAATTGTATCATTTAGAAATACACATGGCAAGGCACCTGAAACTTTAGAATCATGAAAGTAATAGAAGTTCCTAATTTATCAGCCCTGAAGCTTTGAATTCTAGTCCTCATTTCTAGGGATTCTTGTAAATGCCACGTACTTCTGGCAGACCTTGTAAGAAAATGTCTCCCCTTCAGTTAGAAACTTCGCTCGTGCTGCTCCTGTTATGCCGGACGTCCGCTCCGCCGCTCCGAGCTCACAGACCCGGGATGTCGGCCTCGGCCGGAGCGCGGACGCCTCGCGCGCGGACCCGAGGATGGACCGCGCTGCCGCGGCTCTGGGCGCCCCGCATAAACCCGGAGCCCGGCCCACACTAGTGCTACGGAGTACAAAGCCAGAAACTTTGAGAAAAAGGCTTTCTTTGGAATCGCCTCGCTTTTCTGTCCAAAGCTTTATTTATCCCACGGTCTTTATTAGAGTGAGTACATTTAATTTCAGAAAAAAAATGTTTTGCCAAGAAGGAAATTCCATGCCCAAGAGTTGAGCTGGATGGTGGAGTGAAGCTTAGGGTCAGCACTGGTCCTAGTACTTCCAGTGAGAAAAAGTTTTTCCCCATTATGTCCAGTTTTAGCACTTTCCCCACAAACCCTGTCCCCCAGCCTCTTTTCCCAAATCCTGATTAATGGTGCCTGGGTCCACCCGGATGCCCAAGCCAGAAGCCTAGGAATCATCTGCAGGTCCGACCCTACCTGTCTAAGTGACCAGTGGGCCCCACCAGCTCTATCCCCTCGCCTCTCTCCTCCACTCCAACTGCTGCTACCTGACTTCAGAGCATAATCACCTTGTACAAGCTATTGAAATAATCTTCCTGTTTTGGGAACTCATCCCCTCATCTCTGCCTAACTATAATCTACTAAACTCCTGACAAAGTCACCCTCATACATTTCAATCCACAGAGCTTTTTAAATGTTCCTAGTGCTCCTCACGGCTGCAGAAGAAGAGCCTCCGTCTATTTCCTGACTCCTCCGATGTCCTCAGCCCAGCCCCCCACTAGCATGCTGTGCTCCTATTCTACACTTGCAGCTGCCTAACATGCCAGTACTTCACACGCTGTATCTTTTGTCAGCACACTCTCAGAGATCTTTCTAACTGTCTCACATCCACGTGGGGTCAGGAGATAGACATTTCTCCATTTAGAACTCAGCCTGGGATAGGCAGGTTTTGTGAGCATATTCTATGGGCTCCCAGTGACCTGCTCCATCCAATCTTTACCACACAGCTCTGGAAACTAAAGGCTCACCCTCACAAGGCTGCTGCAGCATGTCAAGCAACTCTTAAGCTTCTGGGGGACATGTGGAAATAATTTACAATCCAACCTTTTTAAAAAAATATCACAATGCTCAAGGAACTTAGTGAGGACCTCGGCAGCATAAAAAAGACACAGTCAGAAACAAAGGATACACTAACTAAAATAAAGAACAATTTACAGGGAAACAACTGTAGAGTGGATGAAACCAAGAATCAAATCAATGATATGGAACATAAAGAAGCAAAAAACAACCAATCAGAACAACAAGAAGACAACAGAGCGCAAAAAAATGGGGGTAGTATAAGCAACCGCTGAGACAACTTCAAGAGGTCCAACATTCGCATCACAGGGGTGCTAGAAGGAGAAGAGGAAGAGTAAGAAATTAGAAATCTATTTGAAAAAATAATGAAAGAAAAATTCCCTAATTTGGTGAAAGAAATAGATATGCAAGTCCAGGAAGCACAGAGAGTCCCAAGCAAGGTGAATGCAAAGAGATCCATTCCAAGATACATTATAATTAAAATACCAAAGGTTAAAGATAGAGAATCTGAAAAGCAGCAAGAGAAAAGAAGTTAGTTACAATGGAGTAACTGTAAGACTGTCAGCTGATTTCTCAAAAGAAACTTTGCAGGATAGGAGGGACTGACAAGAAATATTCAAAATCATGAAAAGCAGGGCCCTACAGCCAAGATTGCTCCACCCAGCAAAGCTATCAGTTAGAATTGAAGGGCAGATTAAGAGCTTCCCAGACAAGAAAAAACTAAAGTTCATCATCACCAAACCATTATTTTATGAAATATTGAAGGGACTTATTTAAGAAAAAGAAGATCAAAACTATGTACAATAAAATGGCAATAAATACATACCTGTCAACAATGGAATCTAAAAAACAAACTAAACAAGCAAGAAGAGCAGAGACAGAATCGTAGATACAGAGAGTGTTTTGATGGTTTCTAGACAGAATCATGGATACAGAGAGCATTTTGATGGTATCCAGATGGGAGGGGAGTGTAGGGGAATGGGTGAAGAGGTGAGGAGATTAAGAAATACAAATAAGTAGTTACAGAATAGCCATGGAGATGTACAGTACAGTATAGAAAATGGGATAGCAAGAGAACTTACGCATATGACCCATGGGCATGAACAATGGTGGGGGGATCGCCTGGGGGAGTGGGGGGTGCTGGGTGGAGGGGGGCCAAAGGGGGGAAAATCAGGACACCTATAACAGAATAATCAATAAAATATAATTTAAAAATTAAAATAAAATTTAAAAAAAACTTAAAATATTACCCAAATTGGATAATCCAGTTCATAAAACTATGAAACAAATGACTTTGGAGTATTCCTAAAAACCAAAATAGGTCTCCATAGAAGTGTGTTTCCCTTATAAACATTCATATTGTCTCTAAAAGTGATTCTCAAAGGAACTCTCAAAGCAAGAAGGGCACTGCAGAATAAGTATGACTTTGAGCATGACATGAAAGAACAATACTCTGAAAGTCCAAGTTTTTTTTTAAGTTGGAATGCCATGTATTTATAACTCCTAAGTTCATCAATAAGTATTTTTGAGTTATCATGTAATCAGCATGCTGTCCTCAAGAAGCTTTATTTACAGAGTCCAACAAACTGGTGACAAAGTGCTGCAAAGAGGAGAGCTGTGATGGTTTAGAGACCAGGAGGGTTTCATGAACAAAAAAGAAACTAAGCTGGATTCTACTATGAAGAGAGAGAAGATGGGAGGAGGAAATCAGCTGGGAACAACTTCATCTTCCTTCCACTAAACCCAGCAACATGCTGCGCCGGCTCCCATCTGGCTGCAATGGGAGCAGAGCCCTTATCCCCAAGTGTATCTAAAGGCAGCACCTCTGTTACACTCTTGGTTTTTCTCATCTCACCCACTTCAGGACACCACTCCTGCAATTACTCTCTGTCTGAATCATGAATTTTTTGTTCTCCGTTGGATCATTCTAGCAACACCATAGGATGCGTTCATGTACCTGTCCAAAATAAAGAAACCTTTCCTTGACCGCAAGTCTTCTATCCAGATACAACCCTATCTCTCTGCTGCTTTTCACAGCAACCTTCTGCAAAGCCTCTCCCCCATCCTCCACGCCATCCTCCCCGCCCTCGGCTCCCACTCCCTCGCAGGCACACTCTCATCGGGCTTTCGTCCCTCCCGCCACCCTGGTTCCCCCTCCTCTGCCGGACCTCTACAAGTTGGGAGGTCTCTTGTAAGGCCCCCTCCTCTATCTGTGGTCTCTCCTAAAATTAACTCACCTAGTCCTTTAATTACCATATTATGCTAATACCTCCCAAATGGATGTTATCCGCCCCAATCCACTCTAAGGTTCTAAACTCCTCTACCAACCACTGACTTTCTCAGTGAGTTCACTTAACCCACTTCTTCTCAAGTCCTTGCCATCTCAGGAGGCGGCACTCCATTCACAAGTTATTTCAGCCAGAAATCCAGAACTCACCCTGGATTACTTCCTGTTTTCTCACCTCACATCTAATCAGCAAGTGACATAGACTCCATCTCCAAAATTCATCAAGAATCTGACCCCTTCACAACACCCTTCCAGCTCTTTCACTAGACCTTCCCTGGGACAACCTCTGACTGGGCTCCCAGCTTCCACCGTACTTGCCACAGGTCACTCTGCACAGAGGCCCGAGGTTTTGTTCTTAAGCGCACCTGAGATATCACACCTCTGCTGACAGCGCTCCACCGCATTCCGGCTGCATGGGGCATAAAATCCCAACTCCCTCCCAGAGCCCTGCTGTCTCCCTAACACCGTCACCTACACACCCTCTCTTCCTCATTCTCTGGCCACACTGGCCTGCCTTTCCCTTCCAATAAAGTCATTCCCTTTCATTCATTTTCATCTCTAGCCCCTCTGCCTAGGAGGCACTGCCCCTGGGACTCGCACGGCTGCTCGTAGTTCAGCTCACAGGCCATCTCCTCAGGGAGGCCTTACCCGACCGCCACGGCCGAGCAGCACCTTCTGCCCACCTCCTCCCATCCCCCCCCCATTCCCTACCTCTCTGCCTTTATTTTCGTCATAGAATCTTGACCTGAACATTTGATTTCTCTTGTATTTACTGCCTGTGACCCATTGGTAGATTATAATGTCAAGAAAGCCGGAGACTGATCTGTTTTCGTCTCTCCAACAGTTAGACCAGTGACTAGAAGAGGATCTAAACTTAAAAATGCTAAATGAGGGGAGGCAGAAAGAATCAGGAATCTAAACCAAGTTGCACAACGAAAGCCAAAAGGAAGAAATGAGAATCAGTTTGGTTCATTTTAGTGAATGAAGAAACTGGCTTGACTAAAAGCAGAAAAAGAACAGTGGGAAATGAAATGATGCTGGGAAAGCTGGAATCAAGCTATGAGAGGTCTCAAATGCTAAGCCAGATCGTCTAGAGTTTATGTTGTAGGCAAAAGAGAGCCACTGAAGGCTCTTAAACACAGGAACGAGTGCAGCACTTAAGGGGGGCTAATTTGGTAATGATGTGTAGGGTGTACTATGAGCAGGGAGTAGGAGGGGAAGGTAGCCGGGTCAGCAACTGTCCAAGAAGATGAGATAAGGATCCAAAGTTGCCCAGACTAAGTGGGATGAAAGAAATTCCTGAGATACATTTTGTGACAAATCTAACAAGTAGAGGTGGAGGGGGAAAGTGAGGTGAGTCTAGGGTGACTCCAAGATTTTAAGCTTCCATAATTGAATGAATGCTGTTTGAAATGGAGAAATCAGAAAAAAAAGAAAAGAGTCAGATATTGGGCTGTGGTTCCAGAAAATCCACCTCCAAAAACAGAGATGCAGATTGGGGAGTTGGTTCCTTATCCCGTCTCTGGTGTTAAGAGAAGCTAGTGAAGCACCAAGTTACTTACATAACACTTCTGTCCCCTCCATGGGCCATCAGTGCAAGAGTGCAAACTGTCACTTAACTGCTGAATTCCCAGTCCCTGGAATGCAGTAGGCAGCTGAAAACTATGTGTTCAATAAATCATCAGTGCGAAGGTGACAGAGACAGTGGAAGCAATTCTCAAAGGAAAAAAGAACTGATCCTTGGGGAGATGTCTCCAGTCAGAGGATGGGAAGATGAGGAGTGAAGAAATGAAGGGGAGATGAGACCGAGAGGTAGTGGAGGTGTGAGATAAGGTACCATTGAAACCAAGGGAAGGAAACATTGAAACGGTAGTAGCATTTAAAACTACTAGAACTGTCAGGGGAAAAAGTCAAGAACAAGACCTAAGGAAAGGCCTCTCAGGTTGACAAGATGACTGGAACCAGCCGTTTCAGTGGAGTTCTGGTATGAAAGTGGGATTATAGCCTACAAAATGGAGGAGCGGCTGATAAGAAAGACAGCAGACAGAGGGTTCCAGATGACCAGGAAGTTCCTCCTGCCAAGCCTACTCATTAAGGCTGCCTAGAGTTCTGGCCTTAGGCATAGTGGGAAAATGAACCAGGACCAACTGGGCGTAGGAGAGAGGAAATTTGACAGAGAGGAGAGAACACCTGTTTTTACGTCCAGCAGCACAATGCAACACTAATAGAAATACGTAGTACTGGAGTACATATAAGCACACTGAAGTTGGCAATATTTACATAAAGCTTGAGCACAGGAGAACATCACTCCTACCATAAGAATTTTGTTTGGACTTCCGTCTTCATTCATGACACTGGTTCTTTTGAAGCCTCGTGATTTGGATGGATCTTCGTCTGTATCTGCTTCACCAGAAAAAGAAAATTTCCATCTTCCAGCAGAGGCAGGCGTCTTGTCATCAGCCGCAGAGGCCTGGCTTCCGGAGATATTGCTTGTCAGAGCGTCAGCTGTGTCTGTCGGGAATGGTGACCCTGAGGGCTGTGTGCTGCGTCCTCTGCTGTCTTTGGAGCTTGGTGACGGGGATGCACGATCTGCTGGAGATGCACAGCTCGTGGAGAGCTCATTTTGCAAAAAATGTCTCAGACGAGTTTTTCTGCAGACACTGTTCCTCAAAATTGCGTTTCGGAGATGAGACTCTTCCGCAATGACATACACTTTGCAGCGGCCCCTGGTGACAGCAGTGTAGACATGCTGCCAGTGCTGGCGGCCCGCCTTCCCGACCACGTAGACAACTGTCTGCTCCTCAGACCCCTGACAGGGAAGAATGCATCAGGGAGATTTAATGCTGCATAACAGGCTCATGCCTTCACCTACAGAGGTAGGGAAGAGACCAGTCCTCCCAACCACCCACTACCTGGCCAGGATGCTCAACCTTATGGAGTCCATTTTCCTCATTATCCGAGAACTCATGTTCTCATGTTTTCTAATTATGCCGCTAAGCTCAGGCCTTATAGATCCACGGCTGGCTTGTAGAAACCCAGAGATAAACTTTAAAGTCTGTGCACAGTGCCAAATAATAAAATAATTTAAAATGATTGTGTGAGCTCTGTGTGTAAGGTATTATCCCACTGCTATTTTATATTACAAAAATAGGTATCTTAAATATCCAATGATAGGAGAATAAATATATGCACTTATTTACATATATTTATATCAAGTATCTACATATAGATATTTGATATACTATTTTGCAAACATCAAAGATATTTCAAAAATAACAAAATTTTTAAAACTGGATATATGTATTTCACAACTATGTAACACAAAATGAAATTACTCTGATCCAAAAAAATGCCTACAAAATAAACATAAATATGTGATGAAACAAAATAAATCACAAGAAAGAAGGCAACTTTATCAAAATTATAACTAGGCTGTCTCCCAAATGAAGGGCCCATGCATAATTTTTTCCTTGTATTTTTCTGTATTTTCCCATTGTTGAACCAATTACTTTTTCAAGATAAACAAAACAAAAGAGAACAATGGGTCTTTGCTTTTTAAGTTTAGCAAGCCAAGAATTTTATAGACAAGAAAAATGCCCAATGTCACCATGGAACTGTGAGAAAAGTTTCAAGTTTGATAGCTATCCTTTGTCCCTATATTTTCTGCACCAACATAAACTAAGAAGTGGTTTGAACCATTATCTCCCCTAATGTTTCCACACTGACCTGCCAAAAGGAGAACTGTGGGGAGACAAACAACAAGATGGGCATTGAGAAAATACAGATCCACAGTTAAAACAAACAAAATAACAACCTTTTACACAGCAAGCACTTCTATCTCTCTAAACACAGAGAATTTGAACCAACTCTTCAGATGACAAAAGTTGGACAAATACTTCCTTCCAATACTGCTGAGTCTCGGAAACTGACTTACGTGATACTTGATTATAGAAATGCTAAATACAGCTAACAGATACACAGCTCCATTTCTCCCCTGGACTTTACACTGCACACTCATAAACAGGGAAATGTCTACCTAAATTTGGCTAACTCAATTCTTACTTATTAATTAAGTACCACTGAGAAAAATTTAATAGCCTCATAATCAGTCTCCCGGTATTCACACTTGCATCAATCCGCTGTCCTCGTGGTAACTACAGTGACATCTGTAAAGTGCAAATTCAATCATATCTGACTCTGCTTAAAGCCCATTCAGGGCTCCCAAGCTCTCAAAGTCTTGTCTTCTTAATATGGCTCGTAGGGCCCTTCAAGAGCTGGCCTGGGCCCGGCTCCCCTCCCCCTTCTTACCCCTCCCCTTTCTACGAGCCCTGCTCGCCAGCGCAGGGGACCTCCCTGTGGTCCTGCCCGTGCTCCCCAGGCCACGGCCTCCACCGGGCCCACTTCTGGGCGGGGCCCCTGCCCCCCTTCCCTGTGCTGTCCAGCACCTACACTTCCCCTGTCACAGAATTTCTCTCAGACCGGAATGCAGCTTCCACTATTCCTCAATGAGCTGAAAGCTCTGTGAAGGCAGGATATCTATTTTGCTCACTGTTCTTTATTCGGTGTCTCACTGAATGAAGATAAACAGTAAAACACCATGCCAAAGGTGCACTCAGAAAGCAGGACATGGACCCCTAACTTCACCTCAATAACCTGCTATAAATCATATATCCATTTCTTTAATTTCTTCCTTCAATCATTAACACTATCGAACTTCTTAAGGAGGCGCGTTTTATATATTTACTTTTTAAAATCCTCACCCAAAAATATGTTTACTGATTTTACAGTGAGATGAAGGGGGAGAGAGAGAAACATCAGTGTGAGAGAGAAACACTGATTGGTTGCCTCCCGTCGGCGCCCCAACCAGGGATTAAACCCGCAACCTTTCGGCATACAGGAGGGCTCTCCCTCCAGCTGAGCCCCCCCCGCACCCCGTCCGGGCTACACATTTACCGTTAATTATGTATACATCTATTCTCTAAATTTGTTCTGAAACTTACAACTTGGATGAATAGACACAAACAATTAATACCCTTCATGATTTTACAGACTCGTTATCCAAAAGTCTCTATGGACTTTAGAACGGGGTCCAAAAACTTTTTTCTATAAAGGGTCAAAGAATAAAATAGGTTTTGCAGGCCAGATGGTCTCTCCAGCTACTACTCAACTCTTTCTTGTATGGTGCAAAGGCAGTTACAGCCAATACATAAATGAATGTGACCGTACCAATACAATTATTTACAAAAACAGGCAGTGAGCTGGATTTGACTACTATACTGGATAATATATAGTCCTAGAAGATCCTAGGAGGTGACCTGGTCTCCTACCAACCTACCCTCCTTACCCCACATCACTTCTCTGACCTCATCTCCTGTCACTCCCATGCCGGCCTCCTTGCTGTTCCTGTTCTTCAAATATGCCAGACAGGCTCCCACCTAAGAACCTTGACCTTGGCTCTTCCCTGTATCTAGAATGCGCTTCTCCCAGATACCCACATGGTCAACTTCTTTACCTCTTCCAGGTCCATGCTCATAGGCCACCCTCTCAATGAGGCTCATGCTGACCACCTATTTAAAATTACAGCTGTACGGCACCCCCACTTCCTTTCCATAGCATTTACCATTTCCTAACATAACATGTAGTCTACATATTTTTTTACAGTTGTGTATGTCTCTATCCTCTTCCCCACCAAACCTAATCCTCACACTGGCAGGTACCTTTGTTTCATGGACTGACCTTTAGCAAGCACTCAGAACAGAGTTTGACTGAATAAGTATTTGTTGAACTGAACTGAACTCGGAAGAAACAAACTACGCTGATATTAATCATGAATGCATGTTCTTGGAGGTAAGAGATGCTATTTCAATCACGAAAGAAGAGCCAGGTTTAATAAAAGGAACACTTAAGAGATATTTACTCCAACCTCAACCCAGTAATCATAAAGACCTCTTCACTTTTCATTTGCCCAGACATACAATGAAGACTGGATTATAATTTTAAAGAAATCTCTCTCAGAAAATACAGCAAAATGATAACATGATGGGAAACAAAAGAGAGTGATAAGAAATTGAGATAACCACTTCTGGAGGCCAAACAAAACAGAGGTTCTAGAAGGAGACAACAGAGAAAACTCGGGACAAGAAATCTTAATGAAATTATTCAAGAAAATTTTCCAGGACTGGATGATATATGAGTTTTCAGAATTATAGAAACCATAAGGAAAATTTCTCCAGGATCTCACAACCAGAAGTATTGCACATCTTCATAACTGGTTGTTTTTTTATCCATACAGACACAGTCAACTGACTGATTCTCTCTTATTCTGGGAATTAAAGCCAAATCCACTACCCTAGCGAACAAATAGGTTGGTGTGTGTATAAGCACTCCAGCCTACTCCTGGCAGGAATCCTTTTACCGTCCTTACCTTTATTTATATCATTTCTTTATCTTTCTAAAAGTCATGTTAAATTGTGCATGTTTTTGTAGCCATTTCAAATGCTTTTTTGAACTAAGATGGGGTAAGTTAAATACTACACCATTCACTTAAAAAACAAAAAACCTACACTAATTAATGTTGGCCTCCTAGTAGAGGATATAGGCTAACCTATAAAATTTTCCTGCATAACAATGGAGGTCGATGCAGCTTCATCATTAAAACAGCATTCCAACATCAGAGAGGGGAGCTCAAACACAATGAGATACATAACAGAGCCAATGATAACTTATGGGAATTCAAGAGTATTAAAATAGAACTTAAAAGTAAGTTGCACTAAATGCACTGTAGCCCAGGATTAGATCCTGGAACAAAAACAACAAAAAAAGGCATAGTTAAAAAAACTGGTGAAATCCAAATAAAGTATACAGTTTAATTAATAGCATTGTACACAAGAGCAATTTCTTTTTCGACAAATGGTAGAATTTTGTAAGGTATTAACATTGGAGAAAGTTGGGTGAAGGGTACATGGAACTCTCTGTGCTACCTTCCTAGCTCTTCTGTAAATCTAGTTATTCCCAAATAAAAGGTGGTTGCCTCACAAGGGCGGAGATAGGGGGGTACATTTGTCAAAGCTTATTCAGCTTTATAATTAAAATGTGCCCGAGATAGAGTAAGAAGGGTCTGGTTGGAGGGGGTGCGGTTAGTGCAGATCAGAAACATGTTTTATGCAAAATTATACCCCAATAATAGTTGATTAAATAAAAACAATAAGTGAGTCACAAAAATCTCTAAGCATCTCAAATACCATTTGAGATGGTAATCTTGTTTCCATATGATTGGACGGATACAGAGCAGAAGCCACTTCGAGGAGGGTGGGAAGGCAAGGGACAAGGGCAGAATAAATGAGGCACTTGCTTAGGATGCAAAATTTAAGAGGATGCAAGAAACTCAGCAACCAAGATTAATAATATTTTAATAAAATAGTTTTAAAAGTCAAAATTTAAACCAAAAGAGATCCATGATGAACAAAATATCAAAATTTTAAATAAAAACAAGATCGGTAACAGTGCCATGCTAAGCAGCACAGGAGACTGAAGCAAGATGCAAGTTCAGCCCTGTGGGTCCTGACCCTTCCATCCTTGATGGATGAGGCTTTAGCTATGACATCGTGGTTCCTGAATAAAGAGAGCGCTGAAGCCAAAAAGAGTAAACGGTTTATGTCTGCAAAATATTGTCTGCACTTTTGTGCATTTTGTTTCCTGTTTTTTAAAAAATAAAAGCAATAAAAATTAGGAAGAAAACAATATGAGGTATTCTGTGGCAGGGCGAGCTATCTGAATAGCTTCATAAATCTCCAACCTTACCTGAAAAGTGTGAATCGTTCTTGCCCATGCATGTCTTATGCGACAATGTTTCATCAGTTTCCCAAAATCTACAGTTACTTCCAAGCCAGCCATATTATTAATGGTCAAAAATCTTTTCTTTCCACGGGTTATATCAACTTTATCCTGTGACCAAAACAAAGAACTATTTTGTATGTTTTAAAATACGCACACTGCAAAGATATCTATAGTTGAACTGAACATAAAATGCAAGCACCTCATAAGCAAAAGAGCATACATATCCACTATAATCGTTAAGAATTTCAAAAGGTTTAAAATCTATGCTTAAGCACAATCTGAATACATATACGCACAAATATTTTAATAAACACAAATTGAAGTGTTTGGTCCTTCAAACTTAACCAAATTTGACTCTCTGGAAAACAGTCTGTGTTCTCTCTCTTATTTTGAAGTCTATACATTGTATTTCTTGTACTGACAATGTAAGTCTGCATATACTCTTTGCAAAAACCACTTTTCCTCACAGCTTTTAGAGAATAAGCTTATAAATTTAAGAAAGTTTTTACACAATTAGAACAAATTCAAGGTGACCACTTCTACAGTTTCTATATGTAAGCAGACACCAAGGAAACGATGCTTTGTAAAATACCAGCGTGCCACTCGTTTCTTGTTCTTGTTACTCAAGCACTTCAAACTTATTAAAAATGTTTTTCTCCCCACAAGGTCTTCTAGAAACTCATTTTATGAAGCCAGCATCACTCTGACACCAAAATCAGACAAGACATTACTAGAGAACTACAAAACAATATCCCTCACAAACATGGATGCAAAAATCCTTAACAAAAAAAAGTATTATGGAAGAAGAATGTCAACTCTGATATGTGTGGATTATGAATCAATCCTAGGGCAACTTTTAAAAAATGAAATCTATCTCTAATAGGTAAAAAGGTACTCTTTTTCTGTTATCACTTACACTTGTTATGAAAAATATTTCTCCATTGCAGAGTCGAATACCACTCTCAAAGTCATGCTTATTCTTAGCAACATGATGAAGGGTCCAATTAAAGCCTTCACCACTGGCCTCTAGTTCATTACTTTGCCGTCCGTTGGAGGTATCTTCAGGCAGTAAATCTGAGAGATATGCATTCTTGGTACAACAAATTTTATCACCAACTCCAAATACGAGTCTATTCTGATGGTCTCTGGATTAGAAAATGATAATAAATCATTAAGTGTAGAAAACCTTAATTTCATTTTGTTTAAGCAGTAACTCCCACTCAGACCCAATCTAATGTTCAACATAATTTCCACGCTTTCTTTACTCTACTTCTATTCTCCAAAGTTCAACAAGAAATCAGGCTCCCACAGGTGTAATCACCATACTCTCCTCGCCACCTCAAACGCAAGAACGTTGCCTAGCCACACTTTTTGTTAGAAGCCTTGGCGTAAATGATGTCTCTCTTTCCTGTTACATTCTAAAAATTACCAAAAATCGTACTTATTCTACCTTTTAAATTTATCCTCTCCTCTCCAATCACTCCTATCACTGTCCTATTTCAGGTCTTACAGCACTTATACATATTTCTATTATAATAATCGTAACATATTAAAATAGCAGCAAATTGAATAAATGCCGGCAATATACCAGTTACTGCAATAAGTCATTAGGCGTATTATTTCATTTCATCCTTACTACACTCTGTGAGGATATTCTGTGTAAGTATCCTCTTTTACAGCCATGGAAAGGTGAAACTACCTGCCCAACTTCACAGTCACCGAGGCCCAGGCTGCATAACCCCAATCTCATGCTTTTTAGCCCTTTGTTAGGCTACCTAACATGTTTTCTGTGTGTCTATGTGTGTGTGTGTGTCTTCCCTTAACTAACATATCTCTGCATTCTTTGCACTTAATAAATAGATGTTGATAAATGCTAAAGATGTAAGTTAATTTTCCCCATATGCAAATAGAGTGGCTTTTCTACATTCATATTTCTCTGATTGATGTCCACTGTGGTGTTCTCTGCAGGCATCCCGTTCCTAAGGTTCTTGGACACACTACACACATATTATAATTTGAAATATTCTCCTGAATTCCCCATGCTCATCTTGGAGAAGCTGGAGTTTGCCAACCTGGAAACCACAAGGAAAGTTTTATGCCTTATTTTTCTTACCAAAAATTCAATTCCTAAGAATATACATTATACTTCATTGACTAGATCACCTTCCTTCACAAATGAGAAAAAATGATTTTTAAATATGTTGCTACAGCCCTGGCTGGTGTGGCTCAGTGGATTGAGCACTGGCCTGCGAACCAAAGGGTCACGGGTGCGATTCCATCAGGGCACGTGCCTGGGCCACAGGCCAGGTCCACAGTAGAGGGCGCGCAAGAGGCAACCACACAATGATGTTTCTCTCCCTCTCTTTATGCACACTGCAAAGGTATCTATAGTTGAGAGATCTCTCTCAACTATATTTCTCTTTCTCCCTCCCTTCACCTCTGTCTAAAATAAATAAATAAAATTGTTTAAAAAAATAAGAAAATAAATAGGTGGCTGCAGTGATAAATGTCAAAACAAACAAAAGAACAGTAAATCATGGAAGGACTGTCCCCAGAGCTTCCGTTTGTTGGTGCTCACTTGGTCAGGTGGCCAGTGTAGTGCTTGCCACAGCAGTCGTTGATGACATCGCAGTCTTGCCTGAAACACATAAACATGCAAGGGTCACTACAATGGTACCTGTTTAGTGCTTATTCTGTTAGCAACAATTATGACACACTAGATTCCATAAAAAATCTCCAGGACTTTCTCCAGGAAGGAGCATTTTGTAAATTTGATCTTAACATAAACATTTGTTCCATTCAGATTTCCTGTGAGTTTCCAAATACTGTATAATATTTTGTAGAAAGAGTCCTGTTTAGGAACTGCCCTCTGCATGTAAAACAAAGAAATACCTCAAACTAAGAGAGAAAATTAACAGCAATGAACTAGAAGAGACTCTTATTTAAACAACACCTATATTAATAAGCAATAAGATTTAAAAGCTAGATTAAAAACAAAATACTGCAAATGCTTTACCTTCTAAATGCAATAAATTGTGATGTCTCTGCACATTGTAGGTCTTTTTCTTTGAGTAAAGCGCTAACAGCAGAATATAAATCTGACAATTTAAGAGAAAAAAAATTAACATGGCAAAGCACCAAATTACAACATTGTTTCTGTGGAGAAACAAATTCAGAATTCCTGCTAAGGGGCACATACAACCTGTCATACAAGTTCTCCATGGGAACATCAACCTCATTCTAGAGTGACAGAAGAGAAAATGAAGACAAAGGGTTCAGGACACCCTGTCCTCAACAGAGTTCAGCCACAGCCAGGACACCTCCTAATTTGTGCTATAATCTCTGTATATTCACTGATGGTTTGTGAATGCAGAATTTAAACTATGAATGAGAGGATAAAATATGTGACAGAATTACTCATGTAAGATTTCTTTCTGTTTTAAGTTCTGGTAGTACAAGTGGGAGTGAGTTATATTTGAGAAAACCTTAATTTCATTTCATTTAAGCAATAACTTCCACTCAGACCCAATCCAATGCTCAAAATAATTTCCACGCTTTCTTTACTCTACTTCTGTTCTCCGAAGTTCAACAAGAAATCAGGCTCCCACAGGTGTAATCACCCATACTCTCTGCACCACCTCAAACGCAAGAACGTTGCCTAGCCACACTTTTTGTTAGAAGCCTTGGCATAAATGCTCTCTTTCCTGCTACATTCTAAAAATTACCAAAAATTGTACTTATTCTACCTTTTAAATTTATCCTCTCCTCTCCAGGAGAGGAGACATTATAGTTACTCTCCAGATCATGGAAGGACTGTCCCCAGAGCTTCCGTTCGTCTACTGCCTACGTTATTTCATTTAATTGCATTTTCACAACACTCCTATGAGGCATATATTATTTAGTAACTACATATCAGTATAAAATATTGAGATATATAATGACTGGAAGACAGTTACTCCCCAAACACCACAAGGCCCACTCCTATTCCATTCCTGCCCTTCCTTCCCCCAGAACCCACAGGCCTCCCCCTGATTCAGTAGCTAAAAGGTGAGCCCTGGCACAGCAGGACCATCCATTCTAAGAGTGACTATACCCTACCAGCTAATAAATAGTTTGACTATCACCACTGACTACATCCTTGTTATGAAAGTGAAACTGAGGCTTTTGGAAACAAAAGTAATTTTCCAAATGCAGTGGCCTGGTAGGGTGGCTGGACTCCTCTTGTAGAGCTCAGACCATGGCAGTGCCGACATTCACTTACAGCTTGTCCTTCCTCAGAGCACTGAGAAGCAGGCCTCCTCTCATCTCTCTCAGCAATATTACAAAAGGGAAAACATTTCTCAGGAAAGAGAGAAGATATATAAACTCGGGTAAGAACGTTCCAGGTTTGTGTGTCTTTCCCTCGCAGCAGGTGAATCACAGGAGAATGAAAAGGCTAAGGCCTTGCATTGTCCTCTTTGGGGAAGACTAAATTAGTTGCCAGCTGGGTGCTTCATTTTTCAGATGAAGGGAGGATTATCACTAAAAACTGGCCAATGCTCAGCTCACCCCCAGGCAACCCCTCGTCTTCCAGAATGGGAATTTCCAAAGGTTCCATAGAAGACTGTTTTCTTCCATATGTACAGGAAGGTTCCTGCTATTCTGCTCCTTGCTTTTTTCACTCTCTCGGCATCTCACAGATCAATATGCACAGTATCTCAACATGTACATAGTATTTCACTGATTCTAAACTACATGATTTTCTCACATTTTTAACATCTCTAAAATTCTAACCCACCTGTGAAGCCTGTCTTAAGTCTTTGTACTCCACAATACTGGGAATAATCTACTCAACAACTTAATTAATTATTAACGAGAAAGTACTATAGGCCTCTCTGAGGAATATTTATTCAATTTTCTTAAGGAGGAAACTAATTTTCCAGCTAAAATTTGTAATTAAGAAAGTACAACAGTATCAGTTAAGCTCTGCTACCATTCTGAATGGTAGACAATTCAGACATTCAGACAATTTTTTAAGTACATTTTCATTAATGAAAAGAATGGGTGCCAGAAATAAAGCAAACCATATTTTAGGTAGATCTAAATGGAGTGGCAAAGAGGCCAAGTTACTTAACCATCTAAGTCTCATTTTCTTCATCTGTACTGGTACCTACTATTAACTAAGCTGTTGTGACAATAAATATCTATGAATTATTCATAATATATTTAATTAAAAAATCACAAAACAGTATGCAGCCTATAATCCAATGTACGTAAAACTTACATACTATGTATGTAAGCCCTTACTATGTATGTGGCTTTTATAGGGTTGTCTTGAGGGAAGGGGCAAAAGGAAGATTACAGAGAAATATTCATTTTTACTTCAAGCACTTCTGCATCATTTGACTTTTTTTAAGGACTACGAATTATTTCTATAGTCAAAAACACCAAAAGGCATTTATAGAAAATTATGTATTAAAAAGAAAAAGGGGCTATTATTCTCAACTGGTCTGCCCAAGACCTACCCCCTGAGCGCCAACCCTGGTCCCCCCACATGGCCCCGTTTTCTCTCCAACAAGATGAAAGAAACTATCAGGAACCAAGAGAAACTTGCCAGACTGCAGGCACGATACATATTGGGGGGAAAGGAACTGCTCATAGAAAAAAGGTGGTTCACAGATCAGTTACAGCAGAAGATAGATAACGTCAGCTCTCTTTCAAGAAGTTAGGGGTAAACATATCTCTGATACTGAAGAGGTAAATATGTCCACAAACCAAGGAAGAGCGATCTACTTTACCAACTGTAAGGTTCAGGCATCTCTGGCATTGATCACTTTCACCACTGCAGACCACACTGAGACAAAGCAACTGAGAGAAATGCTCCCCAGCATCTCAAATCAGCTCACTGCAGACAGTTTGACTAGTTTAAGGAGGCTGGCTGAAGCCCTGCCCAAACAACCTGAGGATGGAAAAGCACCACTTGCTACAGGAGAGGATGATGATGGTGCAGTTCCAGGTCTTGTGGAGAATTTTGATAAGGCTTCCAAGAATGAAGCAAATTGAATTGAGTCAACTTCTGAAGATCAACTTGAAGAAGTTACTGGAAACTATCTTATATTCTGACTTCTTTTTCAAATTTTATTTACGGATCTGATAAAATCTAGATCTTTAATATTTTTAAGCCCTAGCCCCTTGGGCACTGCAGCTCTTTTCAGTTTTTGCTTATACACAAATCATTCTTTACAGCTAATTAAGCTGAAGAAGCCAGAGAATAAAGGTTGAAACCAAGGGAACTGAGATTGGTGACATACACAAAGAAGAAAAGCTTAAAGATAAAGTTCAATGTCACTTAATTTCATACACAGAGTGAGAAAGCTAAGTAGGAAGGATATACCTTTAAGAACTGTGGCAACTAGGACTTCCGGTCAAGATGGCAGCCATACGCAGACATGGCTCACCTCGCAAAACCACATTAAAATTACAACTGAACTATAGAATAACCGTCACTCAGAACAGTCAGAAATTGAGTTGAACAGAAGTCTGACAACTATGGAATTAAAGAAACCACATCCATACAGACTGGTAGGAGGAGCAGAGATGCAGAACAGGCTGGTCCTTCATCCACATGTGGATAAAAATCAAGAGGGTGGATGCCAGACACCTCAGCCTCCCTCTGTACACCACTAGGGCCTCTCAAGCCACCACCCCATCACTGAAGCCCAGAGATAGTGAGTTTGAGTAGGATCTCCAATAATGAGGAATGGATGCTGTTCCTGCATCAACACCAACCAAGGGATGATCCACCTAAAATCCTTAAAGGGCCTTAAACAGTTTTCGCCAAGCCCTTCTTGTAATAACACTGAAATCATTGCTACAATGAAGAATGGGGATCAAACATGGCTAAACTCAGATTCAAGATATGTGAAAAAAATTGATTAAAAAGTGGGAGAAACAGGTCAGCCAAAAGGAAAAGCAAAAGAAAGGGAGAAACATAAAAAAAAACCCAGGAAATTTCAAAAAGTTAAAAGATTTCAACATCCTCAAAAGAAGACTACATAGCAACTGCTTACCAACAAGTGTTTTGCATTAAAAAGGTTCTTTTTAATTTTATTGAAATAATTTCAATAGGGGATGGCCCCTTAATCCATAAGCTTGTTTATCTGACTAGAAATTTTAAAGCATCATTATAAAACTGTAATTAAAACTAGAAAGTGGCTTTTAAAATCCAAATGTTAAGAATTACTAGAGGCTATAGTTTGTCTTTATGCTTCCACCTATAATCAGCTGAATTTCATCATGCTTAAGAGCATCATCTTAGTTAACACCCACATGCAGACAATGCCTACACAAAAACATCCAACACACAACAGCTACTTGGGGAAGCAGCCCTATGCTTCCAAGATCACAGCCTGTAGTCTCCAGAGAGTATTCTGAGGCACACCAGGAAGCCTCAGCTTGTCAGCATGCTGATAAGCCAAGCATTTGGGAATTGAGCTGGACCTCACCAAGCTGCCATGGCCATCAGCATCTATATTTGACCAGCCTACAGGCCTCACATGCAATGTATGTGAGAGAAATGCTGTTTATTTCTGGGGACCACCACTGCAGAACACTAGCACTTAGCTTTCAGAATCTATCTCACCCTTGAGGCCATGCGACTCCATCTTGCCCGCCCAGACTGACCTCTTTATTTCTTTTGTTCCCTTCTACCTCAGTCAAGCCAGTTCCTCAATTATTCCACCACAATTGAGTGCCTGCCTCCTCTACCACACAGGTCATAATATTGCTGACCTGGGTCTACTCTTTTCTTAGTCTTTCCCCAGCACCCCACAGGCATGCCGTCTTCTCCCCACTCATCTTCCCTTGATCCAGACTTCAAGATTCAGTTCAACCCTGACTCTTCAATAAAACCTCCCAGACACCTGGATTATCTTAAAGCTCTTATTTCACTTGTGCTCCACACCACTCAAGTGAGCACTTAATTATTTCTAATTATTTTTTGTGTTAATCTGTCTCTCCAACCAGATTGTCAGCTCCTTAAGGATAGCGACCATGCTTTATTTCCCTGAAACCACCACTGTGCCTCATATACTATGGAACTAGGTTTTGAATAATTTCTTAGTTGCAATTGTTACAGGTAGGAGGGCAACCAGACCATCTCCTCAGAGCAGGAGGGTCTATCTACTGGCTCCTCAATATTAAGTAATCCCTGATAACTTCTTTTAGTCATCATCTTCAGGCCATTGTCCCTGCAGCCACTGGGGATAATGCAATATCCTTTATGACAAGATGTTAACCTGGCCTCTTCAGCAAATAAGAAGGAAATGTTTAAATATTTGTTGAGCCATGGAGCCAGCAAGTGTGTGCCATGTCTGAGACTCTATCAACCTGGCTAACACTATTTGCCCTGCCCTGGGGATGCCCTGAGACTATGACCCACCCAACTTACAGTGGTTAACAGTACATTTTCCATATAATGGCTGATCTTGGTTCATGCTGCACAACTTCCTAAATCCTTTCAAACAAGCAACAGCTGGCTTCAGTGAGCCTCCAGTCCCCATACCTCTTGCTAAGTGGCCCCAGGCCAGGTACTCTTCAGTAGATTCACAGCTTGGCTTTGCCTGGGAATCTCCAAGCCCAGCACAAGTCGTAGCCATCTGAGATGGTTTTACAGCTCAGTCCATGTAGTCCAGGGCAGGATACAGGTTGGGGCTGACCTTGGCCTGCACCACTCGGGACACCACAAGGCCTGCACACCCATTAGACAGCTACAGACCATGTTGAAGCACCACCACCCTGCCCCTGAACAGCTGATCCTCCACAGATGGCAGAGGTTGGTTGTCAATGGTCACAGCCAATCCTTGCAGCGGACAGGCCTGGGTAAATCCTCCCCACTGACCTGTCAACAGAAACTAAGACTCAACTAAAGAGGTGTACTCAGCTCAAACGAAGGGAGCACCTCAAGTACACAGCTTGGGTGACAGGGGAGGCTATGCTATCAGACCTTACAGGATACCTACTATGTTAGGCCAAGTTACCAAGACAGGGAGTCACAGCAGCTCTAATACATTAGAAACAACTACAGGGAGGCTGCCAAAATGAAGAAGCAAAAAAACGTGGCTCAGATGGAAGAATAGATCAAAACTCCAGAAAAAGAACTAAACAAAATGGACATAAGTGATATATCTGATGCAGAGTTCAAACCACTGGCTATAAAGATGCTCAAGGAACTTAGTGAGGACCTCAAAAGCATAAAAAAGATCCAGTCAGAAATGAAAGATACACTAATGGAAATAAAGAACAATTTACAGGGAAAGAACAGCAGAGTGAATAAAGATGAGAATCAAATCAATGATTTAGAACACAAGAAAACAAAAACCAATCAGAACAACAACAAGAAAAAACAATCCAACAAAAATGAGGACAGTGTAAGCAGCCTCTGGGACGACTTTGAGAGGACCAACATTAGCATCAGAGGGGTGGCAGAAGGAGAAGAGGAAGGGCAAGAAATAGCAAGAAACTGGAAATCTATTTGAAAAAATAATTAAAGAAAACTTTCCTAATTTAGTGAAGGAAATAGACATGCAAGTCCAGGAGGCACAGAGAGTCCCAAACAAGATGGATGCAAAGAGGCCCACTCCAAGACACATCATAATTAAAATGCCAAAGGGTAAAGATAAGGAGAGAATCTTAAAAGCAGCAAGAGAAAATAAGTTAGTTACTTACAAGGGAGTCCCTATAAGACTGTCAGCTGATTTCTCAAAAGAAACTAGACTGGACTAGCAAGAAATATTCAAAGTCATGAAAAGCAGGGACCTACAGCCAAGATTGCTCTTCCCAGAGAAGCTATCATTTAGAATCAAAGGGCAAATAAAGAGCATCCCAGACAAGAAAAAAACTAAAGTTCATAATCACCAAACTACTATTATATGAAATATTAAAGAGACTTATATAAGAAAAAGAAGATGAACAATAAAGTGGCAATAAATACATAGCTGTCAACAACTGAATCTAAAAAACAAATGATACAAGAACAGAGACAGAATCATGGATACAGAGATTGTTTGATGGCTGCCAGATGGGAGGGGGGTGTGGGGGAATGGGTGAAGAAGTAAGGGAATTAAGAAGTACAAATAGGTAGTTACAGAATAGCCGTGGGGATGTACAATACAGTATAGGGATTGGAGTAGCTGAAGAACTTATATGCATGATCCATGGATATGAAAAACGGTGTGGGGATCTCCTGAGGGAGTGGGGGTACTGGGTGGAGGGGAGCAAAGGGAGAAGAATTGGGACAACTGTAATAGCATAATCAATAAAATATAATAAAAATTCTAAGGAAAAACCTGTGTCAACTACAATGAATTCTCAATAACAGTCATTCAAATCTTCACTTATTCAATTCTGAGTAAACTATTACACTATTTTAAAAAGCTTGCTAAGTTTATAATAAAGATCAAAAGGTTCAGCCTATCTAAATAGGCTTATCTGCAATAGATAATTTAATATCTATTGTTCATCAAAAACTAACATTTATGTAATTCCTTAACATTGACGAATGTCCTCAAACCTCACAACAGCTCCACAGGCGCTGTCACTGTGATTCCCCTTCTAAAAATGAGGAAGTGATATGACACGGATCATACACATAAGGGTAAAGATTTCCTATCCCATGCTCTTTCTCAGCCCTGTCGTGGTGTCAGCCTAACCCCCATAATTAGAAGTGATGCTTGTCCATTTAACAAGAAGTAGAACAGAAATATTAGGGCTCAACTTCCCGACAGTTGACAGCCATTAATTTTGTTTCACAAATGTACTCAAAATAACAAATGTATTTACTTTTTCCAACCGTTATGAAAGAAAAACTTCATTAAGACATGCTTTCTCCTGAATGAACTTGGATTACTGGAGCTTTGCTTTATTTTAAACTATTCATCTGCATTCATTTATTCACTCAGCAAATATTTATTGAACCCTCAGTATGTATATGACAAAAGCTTATCTTTTACAAAATTCTAGGGTAACCTGCTTTCAATGATTAATAAACTAGTTTATTTTCAGTGCTTAATTTTTTACTAGCAATACACATGTTTACCATCAAATAAAATTATAACTAGTCATTTAATAACTGTTACAAAACTGAAATACTTAATCCTACATAACACAGAAGTTTATACTTACAAAAGTGATGATTACTTTTTGATAACTGAGAACTAGCATCCTCTTCTGGAAGTTTCACAAAAATAAATGTTTTATCTTGTATAGAGACAGGAAATGTTGGATCATTAGAGATATTCAGCTCTGCATCGAATTTTGGAAATTGGCGTTTTGAGATTCTTAACAAAGATAAAATAATATACCAAGAAACAATATAAAAAAAGTGTCTCATAATATGATCAGAGATAATATCATTATAACAATTAATATCTGTTATTAGGTAAATAGGGCAAACAGGCTACCCATATACACATAAATAGCAAAGGAGTTTTAAAACAAAATTAGCAAATTAAAAGCATTAGAAAAAATAGGGAATTTACTAAGCACCATTCTGAGAACCTGACCTACTTTTCTCCAAATGGCTAAAGAACTGTACAAGGTAAGTAATACCCTTGTTTCACAGGTAGCAACATGAGGCTTAGTCAACTGTAGTTGATTGCTCAAGGCCACAGAGGTAGGACGCAGGGGAACTAGGCAGTCAATCTGGGCCCATTTGGCTCCAGATCCTTTTCTATTTAAATTAGCTTGGACTCTTGGAGGTTTATCCATATGTTCACTCTTTCTTTTCCCGTTTCTTCTGTGTATATCATCTGTATGGCCTCATTTTCCCAGTTGAACCAAATATCCACATCTTCTCTTTGCTTCTGTTTTTCCTCTGCAGCCCTCTTTAGTTCTTGTAGTTCCCAAGACTAGCTAATTATATCAGAAAACAGAGTAAGGGGAAGGTGCCTTGACATACTACAGTCTCTCCTTGGTTATTTCGAAGATGACTGACTCCCTGAAGACCTAATAGCAGCCTGGCTATCAAAGGTAGTGGTACACTACTATGTCATCTTCCGCCTTTCCCAACAGAGTTGAAAGGAAGGAAAGGAGAGGGAAGAAGGCTGTCCCTGCTGGAAAAATCCCAGATTTAATCTCTGGGGGACTGAGAATTACCACGAGTGTCCTATTTTGCTTCTGACCCAGGACGTGCAACATATTTCTATCTCAAGGAGCTTTTCCCTGGTATCACTGGGATCCATCTGTCATTGAGTATTTGGGATGATTAAGAAGAAATGATGAAAGGAGCACAGCTTAGCCCAAATGGTATCAGAAAGGTCACCAAAAGGCATTGCTAAATTTCAGATAAAATTGAGTTTTAAAAACTCTAATGTGCTTTAGATTCTCCCAAGATTTCTAGACTTTAAAATGACCAATCATCTACCAACATCCCCAAAATGAGCAGAAGTGTTACAGAAAAAGAATTATACATCCAACAGCATTATTTTTCTTAATGTTTTAATATAAAACTGCATCATCTACCCTATTCCTATCAATTCTTCCTCTACTACTCCTATCCTATCCACGGTAGATAAGGACACAGAGAAAGCAGATGTTTATGTTCTAGTTTCTGCCAATATCCAACCAAAGGAAATGTTCAAGAAACAAAAACAACATCTTCTAAAAGAGAGTCAAAACAAAGATAAATTTTGTCCAATGAACAAAAGGGTCTCTTAGTAGTCTGAGGTCCCATAACATCTACTACAGAAGAGTACTCTAAATACTTAGGCAAAGGCTAAGGGAAAAATAAGTGTTCTTTGCTACTTAAAGGAGAGTAATATGTCATGAATGCCACCAAAATTCATCAAGAAGTAAAATGTCATATTCATTTATTTTGCTCTGGGTCTCTCACGAAAGTTGTGGGTAATCTTTTCCCCCAATTCTCCCTTGAACTCTACTGAACTCATTTCTAAGTCTCTGTTCCCCTTGGGCTTATTCTAGTCTCTATGCCTGATGTGACTTTAATTTACACACACATTTTTTATATCAGAAAAACAGCCCTGGATGGTGTGGCTCAGTGGATTGAATGCCGGCCTGTGAACCAAAGGGTCACTGGTTCAATTCCCAGTCAGGGCACATGCCTGGGTGTGGGCCAGGTCTCCAGTGGGGGTGCAAGAAAGGCAACTGCACATTGATGTTTCCCTCTTTCTCCCTCCCTCCCTCCCACTCTCTCTAAAAATAAATAAATAAAATCTTTTCTTTTCTTAAAAAAAAAGAAGAAGAAATCAGGAAAACATGTTTATTCTTAAATGCATTACTGGACCAGTAATAAAAAATACTAACTTTGTTTTTTTAATTGTAGGGCAAAATGTGTGTGTGTATGTGTGTGAGTGTAGAGAGAGAGAAAGAGAATAGATTTGTTAAAAGGGCATAGTAAATGTACTGCACTGATTCACCCTAATTCAAAAACTAATATGTATTTTTAACCTTTTATTTCTAATTCAACAGAGAGAAAGTGCAAAATTTAAGTTATATTATACCTTGTAGCATTGTCCACAATTAGCTCAGATTCTGCTCTATGGTTTGTCTTTAGTTCAATAGCACACTTTCTTGACTTAAGAGTGTCAAAAAGATCTTGCAGCAAGTTACCAGGTTCAATGCTGGGTAACTGTCTAATGTCACCTAAAAGGGGAAAAAAATAGATGCAGTAAGTTTTAGGTAACTGAGGTCCTAAAATTTAGGAATTATTTTTATTTCTCCTTACTGATATATGCTATACTTCTAAAAACTTACTTACTCTGAGAAAAAAAAGGCCCCAAAAATCTTTATTTAAAATGACTTGAGAACATTGTCTTTAAAAATATTTAACAAAAAAAAAACATTTAGATTAAATAATATAAGATATAAAAAATAGCAATAATACAAGGTAAAATTTGAATCAAACTTCTTTCATACCTATAACCACAGGCAAATTGTTTAAGGACATATATTTTGGCCAATGTGTACGGAGAAAAACAGGCCTTATGCAGGAATGACACTTTCTTTTTGGTCTCCCCTCTTTCCTGGGCTGGAGGTCCTAGGTCCTGGCCATGAGGGATGTTAAGAAGGAAGAGAAGGTGGCTCGGCACTGTCAGTGGCAGGCGCTGCGCCCCTCCCCACATGCAGCTGTGTCAAGGGTCACCAGTGTGGGCTTGTGAGGGGCAGCAGAGAGAGGACGGTGAGCCACAAGTAGAAGGCCAGGAGGCACAGTCTCTGAAAGGTACCTGAAGCTAGAGAGACTGGAGACCTGCTAAGCCACCAACGTTGCCAATATTTTTGAGTGGGAGAAGAGGTTACTGGTGCAAACTTGAACTGAGCTGGCAGAGGGTGACAGGGTGATTTTTCTTTGGGTGTCTTAGACCAAAATTTCTGTGCCTTCTTCAGTTGTCACATTATTTTCAGTTCTTGATTCTATGTAGTAGTTGTAAGGACAGATATTTAAATAGCTTTGAAAATTATTAAATAAAAGATTCCTTTCTTTCCACACACACACACACAAAAAAGGCTTTAGATAGCTGGTATTTATTCAATCTTGTTCAATGTCTAACCAAACATGGAAGACTCTATGTCCTCAAATAAATAAAATAAATATATAAAATACAAAATAAACCCAATGTATTTGATAACAGATAAATTCTAGTAATGCAATGATAATGATTTGCTCTATTAAATTTTTTTTTCTTTTTACTTTAGGCAAACCAACCAACCATAGAGATAAGAAAAACTCTTTTCTGGGTGAAAGATGGAAGAATGTTTAAGCCTTTAATAGAATCAACTATTTATAAAATATCCTCAAATATCTAAAAAAGTTACTTATACACAATTTGATTCTCACATTGCAATTCTATTTTTTTCTCCATCACATTATTGAGTCTACAGAATATTATACCCAATAGAATCTAACTGAATCTCACCAGAATTGGCAAGGACTTAAGAGTCTGGTGAGATCTAATTTGAGTTATTAGCTTAACAATCACAAAAATACTTTTAAGAGGTTTATAATTCAGATTTTTATTATTTACAAATTAATGTATATCTTGATTTACTCTAAATCTGTGACATTTTTAGCATCTTAATAGTCATCACTTAGGTGATTAACAGTGACCCCTCATGACTCTATTTCATTTACATCCTAGCCTGCTAACATCCTGGCCAAAATAAAGAACCACCCAAACTGCTAAAGAGAGAGGTTAAATTGAACTCAGTGGAGTTTTAGCATGGCTCTGACAAGTGACTTCTCACCTGTAAAATGTGGATATTAAATAGTGAAATTGAATAAACAAACAGTCATTTAACCACAATTCTTTGAACTAAATAATTAGAATTCCAATATTTTAACTTACCAAGAATAATAAGCTTAGAAAGTTTGGAGTGCTCAAGCAATAAATTTAAAACGGATTTGAAGATTCCTACAGATACCAAACTCCCTTCGTCCACAACTAGAACTCTAACTGAAGAAAATTTCCATGGACTGCTCATGTTCATTATTTTCTTCCATAAGTAGAAGCTATAATTGACCTACAATGAAAGTATTGCATTTTTAAGTTCAGGTTATAAAATTTACAAAAAAAAACAAAAACAAAAATATTTACATGTTATTTTAAAACAACTCTTAAATTGGAGGAAGGAGTGTAAGTAGAGTAACAGAGGGGGAAAGGCCAAGGAAAGAGACCACAAATGACAGAGATGAATACACAGAAAAGATAGAGCAAATAAATCTAAAAACAAAAAAAAAAATCAAATAATTTTAAGAAGTGCTTCTGAATGACTGCTTAGTGTGTTTAACAAGCTTTGCATATATCACTATTTCACTGCAAAAATTTCAGCCCTCCCCTTACTCCTTTGGACCAGGGAAAGCTCTTATTCTCTTCCATTCCCAAAGAAAGCTTGGCCTTCTGAGCGTGCCCAGCCACTCAGCCCTCCTCTTCTCCTAAACTATTACAGTCCGTCCTGGAAATAAAGTGCTGCCTTCCCAATCTACCTAGGAAAATTTTATTCTTTCTTTTAATATTCTAAACTTCCTAACTTCCCAACATTTAAAAAAAAAACACCACCACCAACAACAAAACAACTAAAAAACAATTTATTATAGGATAATAATATTTACTACTTTAAAAATATAGAAGAGGAAAAAATCTGTAAAATTACAGCCAGATAATGTTAAATATTTAGGACTCTATCATTCCAGAAACATTTCTATATTGTAAGTATGCCTATTCTGTATATTTTTTAAATGGTAACATATCTTTTCTCAATTGCAGTTTACATTCAATATTATTTTGTATTAATTTCAGGTGTACAGCATACTGGTTAGACAATCACATACTTTACAATGTAATCCCCCCAATATTTCAAGTACCCACCTGGTATCATACATAGTTATTACAAAATTATTGACTATTTTCCCTATGTTGTATTTTACATTCCTGTGACTATTTTGGAACTACCAACTCATTTAAGTTTTCTACTGCAACTAGATTTAATATGTTTGTAAAAGCTTTCGTATTTTCCACCCAAATGCATAAATTCCCTTAAAAAAAAAAATACTTGTCTCACAATAGAACATTTGAATCATCATTATTTGTTTCCTTTCTTTTATTTTACGTATTCTGTTAGTTAAGAATGACTGGTTGACGGTTTCCCCTGTATTTCTTATGCCACCAACTCAGTACAGGCCACATCTATGAGCAACTAGATTACTCAATAACCTTACAACCATGTTCCACTACACACTAACCCAAGATGGGATTGCCAGACAAAATATAGGAAACCCAACTAAGCTGAATTGGAGATAAACAATACATGACTTTTAATATAAGTATGTTCAATGTAATATTTGGTACTTATTTATACTTAATGATTACTTGTACTTTTATGTGCTAAGTCTGGTAACCCTAGCCCAAGGATGGTAAGTCAGTGGCACAAGTGCCATCCCTGCCCTTACTCTCTCCGGAGCCTAAAGGCGACTTCAGAAATGTTCTCCCAGCATCCCAAGCAGATATTAAGACACTACCAGTTGATCAGAGTTGGAACATAAAATGAAATTTAGTAATGATCCCTCTCTGGCCTCTCCTCTCCTAATTCAATCCTTTACACTAATCAGACGTGAATGTGTAATAGAAAAAAAATCACAGACTGATCAGAAGCCCCTTCCACAATGATCAACACAGAACTTCTACAGGTCTATGTTCATTCACATGACTGACAAAGGTAATGGGCAAAGTAATTTCTGAGGTGGCGCGTGGCTCTGTAATCCTATGTAGTCTTCCTTAAAACTGCTTCCATTTCACTCCCTTACTTAGTAACCTAAATGGCTCCCCAGTAAATCAAGACCAAGCAAGCCTCTTTGTTAAGTTCCAAGGTCTATGATAAATGAGAAAACTATGGCGTCATGGAAAGAACAAGTTGGGAGGCCAGAAATCTGAATTCAAGTGCTAGTTCTGCACCTGGTTAAGATCCTGGGCAAACCATGTAACACCTCTAAAGTTCAGTTGGCAGTTTCATCATTGACCCCCTCACTGGTTTACTAAGGATTTAATGAAATGTCAAAGTACAAACTTTAAAGCTCAAATTTCCTGTCTAAACCAAATTTAATTTTCATTATTTCACAACACACAGGCTTCAATCAACACAATCACTTCAAAACCCTCTATATACACTATGCTTTTGGAAAGGCCTTTCCTCTGAATATTATTTCCTTCAGAAGTCTTCTAATGCTTAAGTTCCTTGATCTGTAGAATGGAGGTCAGGGCTAGGGGAACCTCTACCACTCTTTACAAGTTTAAAACTTCATGACTCCTAATTACAGCCAAACCTATTTTTTCATGCATATTAATTCATTTGAAATTCACATTACGTGACTCCTATTTGCCAGGTACTGTTGTAGGTGGAGATGAAGAATTAAACCAGATGATCAAATTCCTCACTATCATGGAGCTTTAATTCTACAAAATATAAACCTTTTCCTTCCAACTCCAATGCTTTTCAAAATATGGTTTGTGAACTATGGCACGCATGTAACCAGTCCAGCTGACAACGGAGCTTGTGTCAGCATTTAAAAGAACTACACCACTGAGCATACACTTATTTTAGCTTTTTTTTTCATAAGACTTTCTCAAGGAAAAAAGCAGTTCACTGCCTTACTTCCTGGCACTTGCTCCTACCTCACTGCCAACCAGCAACAGTTTATAGACAGGTTGTTTTGAGAGGCAATGATCATTAATAACCAGCTACTACAAGGCAGGGATCCGGAGGACATTCCATAAAGATCTACTGATTGTTGTCAGGAAGAAATGAAAAAGAAACTAATGAAGTAGTTTGTCTTAAAGGCAAATGTTTTCTCTCAAGAAAAAAAATGTAAAAGGTTTTACCTGACACAGCGTATAAGCACTAAAACCAGTCTTCTCTCTCAGTAAACCAGCTGCTTTTCCTGTAGGTGCAGTAAGTAAAACCTCTATCGCCTTGTCTGCCTTCAGTGCACTTTGCTGGCTAAAGGTAATCCACTCTTCTGATAAATCTTGGTCTTGTTCAAAGTCCTCACATGCTTTTTTTACTTCGTTTTCTTCCAACAGCTCCACATGCTTAAAAAGATGGCTAACAATTGTGGTCTTCCCAGAACCACCTTTCCCACTTATGACTGTCACAGCATTGGAGCAGATCATCTCCAAAGCAGCCACCTGATCCTGGTCCAGGTGATCTTGACTTATTTCTGCATTATCTTCATTTTCACCGTTATCCCAAATATGGTCACCGCTGCCCTGTGCATTCAGAACGCCGTCCGAAGTTTCTAATCCTGTTTTGTCAGGTTTACTTTCGTTCAATGTATCATCGCTTCTTGAATCCTCCAGTTTTTTGGTATGAAGAGATGCAAGCACCTTCTTGACATCAACATGTAAATGCCATGGAGGCCTTGTCATCAGGTTACCTATTAAAGAGGCAATGTCTTTTTCAGCCCGGAAAAGGTCATAAAGAAAGATACGGCTCTTCTTATATGTCACCACACCGATATCCTTCAAAAACTGCAGAGACTGCCAAACATCATGAAAAAACATACAGTTTGACAACTGAGAAGTTAAGTCAGCTTCTTCTACATATGTGTGCCCATGCTCTCTACATATCTGCTTCAGTTTAGAATATATTATTAATCCATTCTTCTCTAAATCAGTCATCAGCTGGAGAAGAGGCTCGCACTGACAAAATGCCGTCCAACTTGCCTCACATCGCAAAAGCTTCAATTCTCTGTAGGTTATCTTCAAGAAAATAAAGTTCAAGCTGCTTTATGAAAACTATAAATGTTAATGATCATTATGAAAATTACAATAAAAAATGTTATTTACTAATGATTTTTTAAGTCCTAGAAGACAAGTCCTCATATTTCAATTAAATTTGGAGGGGAAAAAAAACTATGTACCTAATACCTCATAAATTTTTAATTGACTGTCCTGTGATTAGAGATGTATATAATTTTTAAATTAAAATTATATTTTCTCAAAGCAATACATCTAATTTTAAAAGTCAAATAACACCATGAGATTCAACACTAAAAATAGGAATCCCCTGATTTATCTTTCCCATGCCTTCTAAAGGTAACATTTTCAACATTTTGAGTTTCTTCTAAGTACCATTTATACTATTCCTTAATTTTATACTTTAGCTATTTTGAATTTTAGTTTATTGGGGTGACACTGGTTATTAAACTTATAAAGGTTTCAAGTATATAATTCTATAATTCTATCTGTATATGGTACTATGTGTTTACCACCCAAAGTCAAGACTCCTTCCATCACCCCTTTTACCCTTTACTACTTCCCCCCACCCTCCACATTAACTCCCTGCTATGGAAAGTCTTTCTCTGTAGAAGATCTCTCTCTTTTATACCATCACTTCCACATATACTTCTTCCCTTCCCACCTTGGAAAAAAGTTACAGTATACATTTTGTTCATCAATTTTGGCTAAATCAGTGTAAACAGGATTCAGATAAGCAACAGGATGTACCATGATTACGTTAACTTTATGTTAAGCTGTGTGTGTGTTGTGACTGCCTCATTTTCTTGGCTTCTTTTGTTTTCTGCGTGCTCAATAACTCTGCCCGAACGCTAGCAGGCCGTCCACCAGCTCCATCTGTTTTTTCATGGAGACATCCTTCTTGGAGCCCTCCATACATAGTTATATGGGTTGAATTGTGCCCCCCCATGTTGATATCTTAACTGCATGTTGAAATCTTAACCACTAGTACTTCACAATGTGACCATATTTGAAGACAGGGTCCTTAAAGAGGTAATTACGTTAAAATGAGGTCATGGGTGGGCCCTAACGCAAATGACTTATGAGAAGATTAGGACACAGCCAACACAGACAGAGAGATGAGCATGTGAAAACACAGCAAGAAGGTTATAAGCCAAGGAGAGAGGCCTCTGAAAAACCCCACCTTATGGACACCTTGACTTTGGACTTGTAGCCTCCAGACCTGTGAGAAAATAAATTTCTGTTGTATAAGCTACCCAGTCTACAGTTACAGTAGTCCTTGGAAATTAATAAAATACCTCAGTAAAGTCTTTATTTTGGATGGTGAACAATGAAACTTCAAGCCCCTTTTCCCCACTTGAGTCCCAGAATGCTCATTTCTCTGCCTCTCTTCTCTACTGAATAAATATATATAAATAATCTAATGTTCCAGAATTTTATTTTTCAAAGCATATAGAAATCATTGTCATTTGATGTAGGGAACAAATTTATTATTCTAGTGTTTCTCAAACTAGGTGGGGAGCAGTGTCTGCAAACATTTTGGGGGATCCAAAAATTACACTAGAATTTTTAAATTGTATTTTCATTTGGAAAACCACCTTTAACTAAGTACTGCCAAAATTTAAGTGCCACATTTAGTTTCCAATGCCACTGGAACCTCAGTGTCACTTTACTACTCTTGGTCTATAGTGACAGAAGTGGAGTCATTTGTAAATGATATTATTGTACCAAATTTAAAAAATCAAATGACATCATGCTGTACCATATGAACAGGGAAAGTTTTCAAAAGTTCAGATAGGAAAGTGGGGGATTGAACTGCACAGCAGAATGAATTTGCCAAACTCATAAGAATGTGTGTCTTCAATGAGATCTATGCTCAAGTTGCAAATGACAATTAAGTTACCAAAAATGTTTGTCATATTAAATTATATAACTAAATTATTAATCATTTGTATGTCACTTATTTTGTTATTTTGTTTTCCTTTATAAATTTTGCTAGAGGCATAAAAAGTTTATATTTAGTTGTTACACTTAAAGAAAATAGATCAACATTTGAGGTCCATACAAATTTTTTCCTTTAAAAGAGATGCAAAAATTGTCAAGTTTGAGAAATCTTGCCTTATGTAAGATTACCAAATGCTAAACAAATGTTTTACTTACTTTGCTAAATCCAAGTTTCCATGGATTCGTAACCAAAATCTCTTCTATCTTTCTCAACACATCTTTAGAATCTGAGCTTATGAGCTGTTTAAAGTGTTGAGGCAGAAGAACTGGAAGGAATTCCATTATTTTTGGAAACTTCAATGCTGTCGTTACACTTATAAACGGAACTACAGGATCAGAAAAGAACAAATGAAAACACACAAATGAGCTCATTAGAACAACTGATTTGATGGATTTTCTCATTTAGTATGACCAGCTCAAGAAATCCAAATCAAAGAGAGATTAATATATTTAACCAGGAAGGAAATTGACATTGTAACAATTTCTTTTGTACTGAGATGATTTTCATTGTGTTTAACACCAAAGTTCATGTTCTGTAAATGCTTAGGTAACTACTTCTTAGCTTTTGCTTCATTTTGCTTGCAAATAACAAAATTCTGCTCAATGATACAAAGATAAATTCAAAGCTAGACATAAAAAATAATATACATATTAACCTTTATAATCATTTTTCTGACTGCAATCATATTCCTTTGGTAATTAAAGTCATTTGATGAGGTTCTGCCAAATTTATTTGAAATAACTAACAACTGAAATATTCCATATATGGGAATGTCCAAATAACAAACTACATTAAAAAATATTTTAAATCATTTCGGAATGAAATTTTTCCAAAATGGGTTACTAATATTCTTGCCTTTTTCTTCTGCCTTCTTAAATAGAATAATTGACAACTTTTTCTTAACCTCTCAAGGTAATTCTATATACACAAAAGTTAGAGAGGGGGAACCAGAGTTTTAGAGCTGAAAATGAACTGCAACGAACTTAAAGATCATCTCATCCAATCTCTTCACAGTAAAGATGAGGAACCTGGAATATCAACATAGTCTAAAAACTATATAAACACATTTTCATCAAACCAATTTCAAAAAGAATACTATGCCAGACACCATAGTGGCAACATTTTAAAACATATTAAGTCATTAAGTTATCTTAATTACACTACAACTTGATGATAAAAATCACACCTACTTGTGTTTTCCACAGGAAGGCACATCTCATGATCTGGTTGGGACTCTTCCTGTTCAGTCTTTGTAGATTGTTTTTGACCATTTCTCCCAAGTTCTTTGTAGAACAGTCTTAATGTTTCCCTAAGATTTTCAAAGTTGAGGTTTTTATAGCCTGATATTTTATTTACCCAGTCTAAAAATTTATTTATAATGTCACTGGAGACATTACATTCTTTAAGAAAGAGGGAACAGATGTTTTTTTGATTCGGTGGTGACATATCAGACTGTAAAAAGTATGATGGAAATCCTTGAACGTGATAGTTCCTTGATCCCACAGGCTTTACTTGTACCTTCACTCGCCACCAAGGACCCGTTAATGGAAAACGTCCAGACACTTCACACTGTTCTTGAGTGTTTTCATCAGCAATTACAACTTCAAAAAAAAGTTTAGTAAATTTTAAAACCTCTCTTCCAATATCTTTATCAAATCCACTATTCTCTTTAACTCCCCCCACCCCCACACACACAGGCACACACGGCACCATGTACAGATATCTATTAGGGTGTTTATATTCCACTTACTTGTTTATCTGTCTCCCTCTACTACCCTGTAAGCCCTCTAGAATAAGACAATGCTTCACTAGTTTGTACTCCAAGAGGTAAGCATGGTGCATGGCCAAAGTCTGCTGTTCCTCTTCTAAAAGCAGTCCTCTCTCTGCTACTCTGACTTCAGCCAATTCAGAAACTGACCTTCATGCAGTTTCTAAAAAATGCCATGGCCCCTCCCACCACAGGGCCTTTGCATAAGCTGTTTTATCTTCTTTAAATGTTCTCCTCCTTACTGTTTATCCCATTTACTACAGGCCTCAGGTTAACTGTCACTTCCTCAGGAAAGCCTTCCCTGAATCTCAAGAATGTAACCTCTCATAGCACTGCTTACTACTTCTTCTAAGCACTAAGTACTATTACAGTTACTTCTGTGATTATTTAAACAATGTCTGTTTAATTCACTATAGACTATAAGCTCCATTAGGACAGCAACCTCATCATCTTAGCTATCCATGGTATTCCAGCAGCAAACACCTTGCTTGGAACATGGTAGCCAGTCATGAATACTGCTAGGATAAATGACTAAACCCTCCACAAATACTTGAAAATTGTCTGTCTAAACCTGTGCTGTCCACTCACATGGGACCATTTTAATTTAAATTAAATTAAACTTAAAGTTCAGATCCTCAGTTGTACTACCTGCACTTCAAGATCTCAGTAGCCACACGTGGCTAGTGGCTATTGTACTGGACAGTGCAAATATAAAATACCATTACCATAGAAAATTTCACAGGACAGCACTGGTCTATACGTTAAAATATTCTTAAATAGCAGTCACAAGTATAATTTATAGCACAGGAAACTACACAAGGTAAACACGGATATCAATATTATTAACAGAAGGTTAATGAATCAATAATGCCTAAAAGGTGTTTCTTGGGTGTGTGTGTCTTCTAACCACCTGAAAAATAATCCCGTATTTGGCCTCCGGGCCCCAATTCTGGGTGTGAACACAGGCTCAATACCCACTATTATAAATATCCTCGATAATAAAGGGCCTTCGAAGAGTTGTGGACATTACATGAGATAATACACGTCACCACAAGCTTAACACACAGTATTTGTTCGTTATTGCTGTTACAGTAATATTATTTTATCCTAAGTTGGACAAAACAACTAGGCCGTCCGAGAGGAGGCCTGTTAACAGCGATGGGGCGCCTCACTGAGGACAGGGCCACACTAGGAAGCAACATCAGATTCCCCGGGGGGTTTATCTTCCATCACATCCCCCAGGAGCCCGGCGCTTCCTCACCACGGAGGCACCCAGGGAGGCTGCCAGCTTTTACGCCCCCACTGCAGAGCTCCTCGGCATCGACGAACACCGGATCTTCGTCCTCCACGTCCTCCATCAGACATTCATCGCTCTCCTCCACCAGGACCTTGGATGGGAGCAGGGGTCCCCGTAGTTCCCGCAGTCGCTGGCTCAAAGAGGCCATAACTCAGTTCTCCGAAAGTCAACTCAAACTCGGGACACCGGGGCAAGTACAATGCCATCATCAGCCAATCAGGTCCGCCACAGCAAGACGGTCAACTTCCGGGAACGCCGGCGCGCGCGCGGAGGGGCGGGACTGCAGCGAAGCTCCGCCCCCAACCGCGGGCCGGGCAGTGTGCGGGGGAGGTGAGGATTGGTACTCCCCTGCTGCGCGAGGAAACGAAACTGGAGTGTCCACCAGAGGCCTGGACGAAATCAGCCCCCAGGACAGCGGCAAGTGTGGCACCTGCTGAACCGCTAGCACGCGGCATCCCCTAAGGAGAGGGGATTGCCGGGGAAGTCCACGTCCAGTGAGCCTAGAGAACCCGGGAAAGCAAGCCCTCCCCAAAACCCCCAAAACAAAATGCCAGGTGCCCTTCAGGCCAGGTGGCCACCAGCCAAAGCACCAAACAGCGAATCTCCAATCCTGAGATCCTTCTAGCTAGTCGTGACTGCTTTGGAGTTGAATTTCTATAGCACAGGAAACTGCAATCAATTTCTATAAGGAGCTAAATTTCTATAATCAATTTAAAGGCACTTATTCAAAGTACTGATCTCTAGTCCCCATTCCACCCATTGTGTCTGGATCTAGGGCAGGGACCCAGGGTTTTGTCTTTTAAGGCGTCCCATTTGTTTATTGTGATGCTTAGCCAGGTTTGGAAACCACTGAATTGGGTGACATTCAAAGTCCTTTTCATCTTTTTCTCAGTAAGTACACCTTGGTCTCCCAAATTCCTTTAAGCTGCTACCTGCTGACAGTGGGCAGGAGGCGAGGGGAACTATCTACTCCTAGCCCAGAGTATAGATGAGGATGGGGGATGGGATGCAAAGCAGAAGAGAAAGGACAGCGCTTTAAGAAGTTATTCTGGTGCCATGATTCTCATACTTGATGAAATACTGTTTGAAAATGCTTTTTGAGGAACACCTAAAATATATTACTACAATTGCTATTTTGATTACTATTTATTATGAAATTATTCTAATAATAGGCCTAAAATAACTAAGCATACACTGCTAAATCCAAAAGCATCTTATGATAGATTCTAATATAAACAACAGCTGCCACCAAAGGTTTAAGAAAAATTTATAAGAGAAAATACTACTAAAATTGTTTTTTTTTTCTTTTTTGTCCTTTGGATTCAAATGTCCACGTTTGTTGCTTTTGGAAGAATAGTTCTCTGCTGCAGCTGACAAATCACCAGTGTATTCAAGAATCATTTATATGAGGTTGAATTCCTTCCTAAACACTCACAATGGCTACTGTTTCCAGTACAACATTGAATTTGCTGGGTCAAAAGTCACACTACTGATCTCTTTGTTACTAAATCCAATAGATAACTTTTAGCCATTGTCTTACCCCCTCTGTCAACACTATTTGACACTGATAACAGTTTTCTTGAAACACTCAGGTCCCTGGGCTTTTATGATCTGCCTTCTCAGGTCTTCCTCCTGCCTCTTTGGCTATGGATACTTTCCTTGGGCTCTTTCACTGGCCTCCTAAGTAGTGGTTTTCCATAGGGTTCCATCCTAAGCACCTTCTCACTCTAGTCCGTCCTTCAATCATCTTTCACCTACTCAGTCACCTACATGCTATTGAGTGGGCAGGAGGAGGGCCTGTGGTAGGAGTTTTCACTAAAGCCCTACAGGAAGACCTCTGTGTTTACAACAGACCTCTATGGTTGTAACAACCTCTCCCATTAACTAGCTCTTCCCTTCTGTAAAATGGGATTTAATGCTTCTTGATCGTTTTCAGCTTCTGGCTCACCATGTATGCACAAACTGGATTGCAATCCTTTCTTTCTCCAGAATAAATCCTTTTTGGTGAGCGAATACTTAGTTTTGTTTACAGCTAACATTCCTAATCTGATCTCCAAACCTGTGCAAACAACTGCCAATTAGAAGCCACTATCAGATGCCCCTTGGCTACATCCAAACTGAAAGCTGTTCACTGCCCAAACCTGGGTCACTTGTGTATGTATGTATAGGTTTTCCTGGTTACCAACATGATTTGAGGACAGGACTCCAGAAGTTAAGGTTCTCTTCATATGAGGAGCATAACTCAATTACATTTGACTAGATAGTGTAGGTGAGGATTCAGGGTGATGAGAACCCTGTTTCCTTACTGGTTATTTCCTCATTTTTTCCCATCCATCTTTTTTTTTTTTTTTTTTTAAATGTTAACAATTCTAGGATCCTGGATACCATTTTTGCCATACACAGTAGGCAACAGCAGATTCCCTGGGGTGTTTCTAAAAATGAAATTCCTGGATCTTCTCTGAAGCTACATTTCCAAAAATGCAAAAGAGCATAGACAAAAGGTTATTCACTGTGTAGTTTTTAAAGTAGCAAATGATTGGAAACATTCCAATGTTTCAATGAAGCAGAAATGTGCATCAGTAAGAGACTTATTGATAAGCTACAGTGTATCTACACAGGGGAGTTCTCTTCAGCAATTTAAAAATAAAAGAAAGAAAGCATAAGGAAGATCTCTATGAACTTGATAAAGAGTGATTTCTGAGATATTATGTTAAATAAGAAAGAGAAAGACATAAACAATGCATATAGTTTATGGGTATTTTTATGCTTGTTTTTTGGGGAAAAATACAGGCAAGTTAAACCAGAAATTAATGAAAATAATTAACTTACAAATAGGGTGGAAATAGGATAAAAGGGACAGGGAAGGGACAAGATCTCTGAGTTTAACTTTTTGTAATAGTTTTGACTTCTGAAACATGTAAATATTTCATGTATTCAAAAATAAACAGAAAGCAAAACCTAAAATTGAACACAAACAGACATAAATGAAACTGTCTGTCAAATGGATAACATAACCTTTCAGAGAAAATAATTACTTCAAGTTACTTTTGAATACTTTGAATAAATGTTTTAAGTCACTCTGACTATAAATGCTTAGTAGATTATATTCCCAGGACAAAAGATCTACAAAGAAATCTTAAAGTTCACCACACACTGTGGTTAATGTTAATTGTAATATTGTTATTGTGATTTTTAAATTATGCATTATGGGAAAAAGCAAATAAGAAAATGTCTTCATGTTTTATTAAATGAAGGTTTTTTAATGTACATGGAAAAGAAATACAAACTCAAAAGAGGTTAAGAAAAATGCCTACAATATTAAACCTGAATTGAAAATACAAATATGAGTTTGTGATTTCTTCCATTTTAAATATATTTTCTAGCTCGGTTCACTGACAGGGCTGAAAGCAGTGTCACCCCAGGAACTCTGACCATGTCTACCAGTGTCATCTGGGCTTGGGCTTCCCATTTCTTATTCAAAGAAATGAAGGGTTTCTTAAGAAATGGCTAAAAAGAAAGAAATCAATCATTCTGCTCTGGGACAAGGAAAGTACAAGGTGGACCAGGAACTCTTTGTACTGGAAGGCAAGGAAGCCTGCAGAAACTAAGGGGGTTGTGATAGCTGAAGGACCTCCCAGTACGCACACTTAGGAAGATTTGAGTATCAAAAAGAAAAATGATTGCATTTGTTTTTCATGCACGGAGTAAGTAAAAATTTGGTGTGTTCATTGTGATACTAAAACAAAAAGAAGAAGAAATTTAAAAAATATTAAACACCATCGTGCAATCCCTGGTGAAATAACTGACTCAAGCAAGGATCGCCAATGGATACTAAAACCAGTAAGTGAAATATCAGTGGGAAACTGAGAGTCTCATGGCTATCATAGTTTACAAATTGTGAAGAGGAAAATGTATGTTTACAATGGAAATATGTACCTGTCAGTCACCCTTTAAACAAGTTATCAAACTTAGGGCATTAATAATGGAAAGAACTAATGTGTCTCATGCTGTGATGCAGTAGTGATCTACACAAGATCAGCTATGAAGTATTCATGCTGAAAATATTTAACCTGATTGTAATCACAGCTCTAGATCAGCATTGTCCAATGGAAATATATTTGTGAACCATATATATAACTTAAAATTTGTAATATAGCTATATTTAAAAAAGAAATAGGTGACATTAAGTTTAATGATGAATTTAATTCAATATATGCAAGATAGCATTTCAACATGGTAGTCAATATCAAAATCATTAATGAAATATTTTACATTTTTCCCATCCTAGGTCTTTGAAATCTGGTATGTATTTTACCCTCATAGCCCTTCTTAATGTGAACTGGCCACATTTCAAAGGCTCGAGAGCTGCATGTGGCTCTGACTACCACACTGGACAGCACAGCTCTGGATCTAATTGTTAACTTGACCAAAATCCAAGGAACTGAGGCACAAAGTAAATAATATCATGAAGAAACATAATGATTTAGAACAAAGGTCAGAAGACATTTTTTAAAAAGGGCCAGATAGTAAATATTTTAGGCTTTGCAGTCCATACAGTCTTCACATAATTCCCACCCTCTTTCTTCTTCTCGCTCTTCTTTTTTGCTACCCTCTAAAAATGTAAAACTATTCCTAGCTCCAGGGCAGTACAAAACAGGCCGACATTTGCCCACACCTAATCTAGCATATGAGATGTTCTACAAGACAGCTGACCTGGACTTTCAAAAAGTCAATGGCATGAGGGAAAGAAGGGGAAGAACAAGAGGGATCCCGGGGTTTACAGAGAGGCCAGTAGCTGAAGTCAAGTGGATGAAGAGTGGGCATGGGATGAGGCTGGAGAGAGAGGGGCTGGAGCCACAACTTGCAGTGCTTCGGGGCATCACAGGCTGCAAACCGGGGCGTCACAGGCTGCAAACAAAGCTTAGCCACTTCTGAACATGTGGTCACTCATCTAGCAGAAAGTAAGCTCTCATTTCAATGTCCCCTTGAAATCTCTCCTAGGAAGTGCTTATTAAATAAATCAATTAATCTGAATTACGAAACAAAAAATTTCAGTATCTCACTCATACTGCGAGAAACACAGAAGTTTTTCCTAGGTTACATCTAATCTGTTTTCTGGTTACATTCAAAATACATTTGCTTTAGAGCACCTGGATGGTATCAAGGCAAGTGTCACACTGTGAAGCTGTCATTAGTAAGATCTATACATTCTATTGGGAGAGT